TACTTTAATTATCAGAAATAATAAATAAACCAATAAATAAAGAAGAAAACCAATAAATAAATAAACAATTAAGCAAAATATAAATTAAGTAAACAAATAAACAAATAAATTAAAATATAAATGAATTAAAACAAATAATAAATTAATCTATAAATTTATTAATTAAATAAAAGAATAAATGAATAATAAATAAATAGAAGAATTGATTACTCATTAGAATAATTAATTAATGAAGAAAAGAATGTATTCATAGATAAACAGACAAATAAATTTCCTAATGAATAAATAAATAAGTTACTTAGTTTATTAATAATTATTACAATTAAAAAAAATAAAAATAAATAAATAAATAAACAAATAAATAAAAGATTAAATAAACAAATAAAAACTAATTGCAATGTCGACTTATTAATTCTTCGGCTTTTTAAATAAAATTTTATTGAATTATGCATAAATTTCTGCATCTGAGAATAGCACTACTAGTTTTCGTTATATATTCCGAATTTCCTCTCTGCTGTTTTCCGAACTCGATGTAAATTTGTTGCGCGCATGCGCTCTGCCTGGTTATAGAGGCTGGTTACGAGATACAAAAATGTATTCATATTATACCTCAACTGACAGGTAGACAGTTTTTCAAGTCACTGATATTTTTTTATTAAACAAACAGAGAGCTTCTAACATGTGATTAACACACAGGATTTGTTGTAAAGATAATGATACTGACTTTCTCGACAGGACAACTTTAAGTTTCAGGGGGTGTGTTACCATAGGTTTGATAAAAAATCTTACTCCTCCTTAACAGCATCTCTGTTTTACAACTTTTGGAAGTAGATGGCAATATATCTGTCAAATGATCACACTGTAGAATGTCTGTAGTAAGAGAGCGTGGATTGATATAGATAGAATGTCCTCATTGTTAAAATGATGTTGTCCAACACACCCAGTTGTGGTGACGGCTTGTCAAAACACAGATACATGTATGTATTATTCTAACTAGGGTTGATAAAACACATCTTCATAATTAAAAAAAATATATATTGACATTGATTTTGTGAAATTTTCTGTCAATTTGCAAAATGGTCATCTATATCAGACCAAAATGGGAGATTTAAAACACAAAGTTTTGCAGTGAGGTAATTTAAAGGAAAGATATAAATTGGGTGGGGTTATTTGAAAAAATATTTTAATATCCACTGGGTAAGGAAAGATGAAAGCTTCGTGATATGGTGTAGGTCATAGTATAAATCATGGGTGTGTTGATTTACCCAAATGGGCTCATTTGGGTAAATCAATGTTCCGTAAATCACGACCCAAAGGGTATATATTAGGGCCACAATGGGCAATACTAGTTTAACATATAAAAGTGCATTTAGAAAACAACAAAACCATGATCAGTCATTTCATGTGCAGGCATCCTGAGGTAGTGTAAATTAAGTTAGTTCAGATCATGTCCCTCTGTGATAGAATACTACTTCAATAGGTGATTTAAGCTTTACTTAGGAAATATAAGATAAAAGAATCTGCTGCTGAAAAGCAAGAATGGCCATACAGTACACTTCAATATGATTTAGGGTGTAGCTGAGAAATGGATGTTTTTAACAAACTCCGCAGTGCAGTCAGCAGTGCTCTTCCTGGAATTCCCCTTTCTAAAGACTTTGATGTCTCTAACCACATCGCCTCGGGTGGACCAGGGCTGTCATGGAAGATCTACAATGCCATTAAGAGGACCACTAAGCAGGTAACATAGTCTACTAGATGGTAATATGTAAAAGCTCTGACTATGGTTTTCCTTGGGGTGTCAATTTCAACTGTTACACTAAAAACATGCACAAGTTTATATAGTGTATTACTTAATTTAATGTTAAATTAAAGTTTAGTTAAAAACATGAATTTACATGATTGATGCTAGGCAGGCAAGCAATTTGGGCCCCTGAGGAAATTTAAAAAATATTAACCATAGATTTTAAATTGATTGAATTTTATTCTTCATTGAATTATAAAACAGGAAGCAGCAGTCTTTGTGTTTGAAAAGAAGCAGTTGGAAAAATACTCCAAAAGAGACAGAGAAATGATTATTGAGTCATTGAAGAAAGGTGTTTCACAGCTGACAAGATTGAGGCACCCCAAGATTTTGTCTGTCCTTCACCCCCTGGAGGAATCAAGGTAAAGTAATGGTAATAGGACATAAGGAAATGAGATACAAACCTCTGGATTACTCCAGTGCTTTGGCTTTAGATATTTTCATATCAGTCTCAAAGATATAAAGACATACAATAGGAAGTGGGAAAATATTAAAGAAATACTGAAAAAACATTGTGAATAACCTTAATTAAGCTTCATTTGAACTTTATAAATGTCATTCAATGACACTCCAGTCATTTCAGATATAAATAAAAATATCTTAAAATAAGTACATATCCTAAAAATAAATTTTGGTATTTTCACACAATTGTATTTATACATGGACATGTATTTTAGAGAGGCCCTTGCCTTTGCTACAGAGCCAGTGTTTGCTAGTTTAGCCAATGTTTTAGGAGATCACACAAATGTACCCACTCCTGTCCCCCCAGAACTGGCCGAGTTTAAACTATTTGAGGTGGAAATCAAACACGGTGTCCTACAGGTATGCAAAAAAAAAAATATATATAGATATTAAAGTATCGGTATATTTTAAGATAGTGAAAAAAGACAGACTAATGATAAGTAGGCAATAATAGTTCCAAGCACTGCATCTCCCAGCTTTTTATGCAAGTACTGTACTTGAGTGTTTACTTTTTGAAAGATTTTGTATGAAAATTGAGTTTACAAATTATGACATAAATTCACCTTTCTTTTTTAATAAAAAAATCAACAGTTTATCAGTGAAAAAAGTTTTGCATATTAGTATACTAGAATAGAATTGAACAGGAAATTTTTGTAAATTTGCAAAAGAAAAAGAGAAAAAAATGGCATTATTTTTTACCATTCATTGCAGTTGACAGAGGGACTGGGATTTCTTCACAAAGATGCCAAAATAATGCACAACAATGTGTGTCCATCCAGTATTATTATAAACAAGTATGGATCATGGAAGCTAGCTGGTCTTGACTTTTGTGTTCTAAATGCCAACCAACAGGACCAAAGTGTAAGATAACAGTGTAAAGTTCTAGATTGATCAAAGTATTAATAGATAGTGTACATATCAGGCATAGTTAAACTTCATTTTATCAGAAATAAGAATAAAGCATTTTTAAAGCTTTTCCATTGGATACAATATATTTTATGATATACATGTGAAAGAAATTTGCTTACTTTAAATTGAAAAGAAATTAAATTTGATGCAGTCTTCTAAAAATCAACTGCCTTCATGCTTCTTGGAAATTACAGTGAATATATTTTTGAATTTGCTTTGTATTAAAATTGTAACTAATGAATGTATTCAAAAACATAAGAAAAATTGTTTAATTCTGTACGGTTAATTTTGGTTTTCAGACTTTATTTCTGTGTAACGAGTGGAGTCCTGACCAGCCCCCTGTGACCCAGCCAGACCTGGATTACCTGGCCCCAGAGTACTCCCTGACCCACAGCTGTAGTGAGGCCAGTGACATGTTCTCCCTGGGGGTCCTAATCTACTGTATCTACAACCAAGGCAAACCTCTGTACGAGTGTCACGGCCAGCTCTCTCAGTTCAAAAAATTCACAGAGGAGGTAGATTTTTATGTTTGTTAAAAAAAATTCTTAAATTGATTTTATTTGTTAGAGATATTTAATGTGTAGGACACTATTAAATGAATTTGATGTCATATATTGAAATATTTATGTTTGGAGAACTGAAACAGTAATCTAAATGCTAAATAAGGAAATGTATATGCATAAGGAGAAAAAAGAAAATAATATATTTTTCTAAAGCTAATTAACATGCATTACGAGATTTTATTTACTCCGGTAAAAATGAATATATCCTTTTAGCTTAGGAAATTCAGGTCATCTCTTTTGGGAAGTGTTCCTGACAGTCTTCAACAATATGTGAAACTCCTCCTTAACACAGAACCCACAGTCAGACCAGATCCTAGTCAGTTAATGAAGGTAAGACACAGAACCTACAGTTAGACCAGATCCTAGTCAGTTAATGAAGGTAAGACACAGAACCTACAGTTAGACCAGATCCTAGTCAGTTGATGAAGGTAAGACACAGAACCCACAGTCAGACCAGATCCTAGTCAGTTAATGAAGGTAAGACACAGAACCTACAGTTAGACCAGATCCTAGTCAGTTAATGAAGGTAAGACACGGAACCTACAGTTAGACCAGATCTAGTCAGTTAATGAAGGTAAGACACAGAACCTACAGTTAGACCAGATCCTAGTCAGTTAATGAAGGTATGACACAGAACCTACAGTTAGACCAGATCCTAGTCAGTTAATGAAGGTATGACACAGAACCTACAGTCAGACCGATCCTAGTCAGTTAATGAAGGTATGAAACTCCTCCTTAACACAGAACCTACAGTTAGACCAGATCCTAGTCAGCTAATGAAGGTAAGACACAGAACCTACAGTTAGACCAGATCCTAGTCAGTTAATGAAGGTAAGACACAGAACCTACAGTTAGACCAGATCCTAGTCAGTTAATGAAGGTAAGACACAGAACCTACAGTCAGACCAGATCCTAGTCAGTTAATGAAGGTAAGACACAGAACCTACAGTCAGACCAGATCCTAGTCAGTTAATGAAGGTAAGACACAGAACCTACAGTTAGACCAGATCCTAGTCAGTTAATGAAGGTAAGACACAGAACCTACAGTTAGACCAGATCCTAGTCAGTTAATGAAGGTAAGACACAGAACCTACAGTTAGACCAGATCCTAGTCAGTTAATGAAGGTAAGACACAGAACCTACAGTTAGACCAGATCCTAGTCAGTTAATGAAGGTAAGACACAGAACCTACAGTTAGACCAGATCCTAGTCAGTTAATGAAGGTAAGACACAGAACCTACAGTTAGACCAGATCCTAGTCAGCTAATGAAGGTAAGACGCAGAACCTACAGTTAGACCAGATCCTAGTCAGTCAGAACCTACAGTTAGACCAGATCCTAGTCAGTTAATGAAGGTAAGACACAGAACCTACAATTAGACCAGATCCTAGTCAGCTAATGAAGGTAAGACACAGAACCTACAGTTAGACCAGATCCTAGTCAGTTAATGAAGGTAAGACACAGAACCTACAGTTAGACCAGATCCTAGTCAGCTAATGAAGGTAAGACGCAGAACCTACAGTTAGACCAGATCCTAGTCAGTTAATGAAGGTAAGACACAGAACCTACAGTTAGACCATATCCTAGTCAGTTAATGAAGGTAAGACGCAGAACCTACAGTCAGACCGATCCTAGTCAGTTAATGAAGGTAAGACACTCCTTAACACAGAACCAAGTCAGCTTTGGCTTCAGTGCCATGAAACTCTTAGAGGCTCAAGTTTCATCATAGTCTTACTTATGCAAAAGTTATTTATAGTGGTGGAAAAGTTAGACCGAGATCAACAATTTTTTTGCCTAATTTTGCCCAAATTGGGCTACGTACCATTAAAAAGGGATATGAAAATGTCCTTTGTTACAGTCTTTGAAATATAAGACTGAGTGAACAGAGAATGATGTTACAAAAAATTATAATTATGTGAAAATTCAAAAAAACTGTTGCATGTTAAAAACTTATCACACTGGTTTTATCTCAACAGGATCTCAAACAGTATAATTCTGCATTTTAATTTTATAATTGTATATGATAATCAACTTAGATTTGACTTTTCATAGGTTGATTTCTTTGATGATGTTGGAACTGTAACTCTGCAATTTATGGATACCTTATTTCAACGAGACAATCTGCAGAAATCTGAGTTCTTCAGAGGCCTTCCCAAAATCATGAAAAACCTTCCCAAGGTACATGTGTAGAATACATTTCATATACTAGTATACTGGTATCTTTGATTATAAAGGTCTGTATGAAAGTTTTTCTTAGCTTTATTGGTAATCTTGCTGTTAATTCAAAATTTAAGTTAATCCATTTATCCAGTATTAACATCTTTTGATTTGATTATAATGTAATATTAATGTTCTGAATTAACTCTGATTTGTGTTGATTTGTAGAGAGTGAACCTGCAGCGTATTCTGCCGCCTCTGGTGAAGGAGAGCATGAACTCGGACATGGTGCCCTTCACCCTCCCTAGTCTCCTTCTGATGGCGGACCAGGCGACGGACACAGAGTATAGAAGTGTTATATTCCCCGCCCTTATTCCTCTACTTAGGATTAAAGAACCTATACAGGTACACAGTAGAAAGCCAACATATTTCCTGCTCTCTTTATTTTGTCAAGTAAAATTTCAGTATTGACATGTATAACTAAGGGAATTATTTGTAAAAGTAGGAAGATTATCAATGTGATGTGTCTGGTTTCCCATAGAAAATCAAATAAATGATCATAGTTAGAAAAATCCCTGTTAATTTTAAAATTTTAGCGATTTTTATGGGTGAGGTTAAATAATTGCAATTACTAAGATTTCTATGATATTTGAACGATTTTTTTATACAGGTATCACTGATCTTCATGCAAAACATGAAGTTACTGCTGAAAAAGACTCCTAAGAATGAGATAACCAGTCACATTTTACCCATGATTCATCAGTCACTAGAGGCAGATAACTCTCAACTACAGGTAAATTTTACCCATGATTCATCAGTCACTAGAGGCAGATAACAACTCTCAACTACAGGTGAATTTTACCCATGATTCATTATTTATTGGAAGTAGATAACTCTCACTTACCATAAAGAATCATGATTTAACTATGCTTCAGTCATGATTGAAGAAGATTGTCAAAGAACATTTTATTCTAAGTGCTGTTCTGAAAATTAGTCTTGGATGTCAAAATGAAAAAAAAAATCAAGCTTACTGTAAGTTGTTTTAATTCCACAGTGTTAAAATTTCACAATATCTCAAAAAGTACCAATCGCAATGGTTTTAATTTCACGATAAAAGAAATTAATTCAAAATATTGTATTTTGCATTTAAACGTTTTTAAAACTAATGATAACATTCACGATGGGTTAAATTTCGCGGAAATATGATAAATCATGAATATAGCGAAATAAAAATCATCGCGATTATTTGCCAATCTACAGTATGCTACAATTCCCTGCAAAATCTTGAACTTGGAGACGATATATGTATAAGGGACAGGTCTTAAATATTCTGAATCCTTTGTTCAATATATGTTCAACATAACGTTCCTTTTTTGCTTGGATTATTTGTTAATTAGAATTGAGATTCAGAAATTCAGAAAAAAAAATTCTGAATATTTAGTAAAATAATGAAATGGTAATAAAATATTTTCAGTAGCAAAATAATTTGCTACATTGATACTTTATCCTTTTTTATATAGGAAAAAATCATTAACAAAACAAAAAAAATACATTAAACAGTTACATCCTTAAACATTTTCAAAATTTCGTTTTTTCCCCAAGGATATGTGTTTGGATATTGTGCCAACATTTGCTGGACTGATAGAATTCTCTGCTTTGAAAAAATCCATCCTGCCTCGGATAAAGAAGATCTGTCTGTCAACTGGAACTCTCTCTGTAAGTCAAGCTACAGGAATTTAATGTTCGATATGTACATTGAATGTTATGTCTTTTTCATTGCAAACCAAATGTAATTTATTGAAACAGAAGTCTATTTTTTTAGGAAGGGGCCCTAAAATACAAGTACATGTATACTACTTGTTTAAGCAGTGATTTATTCTGCCCCACCATGAATATAACGTTTGACATGTCCATCTTATGCCCTTTCATCTGCCCATCTCACTTATCATTTTCCTCTGTTCAAAGAAACTTTTTCGGATATATTAACCTAAATTCATTCACTGATACAAATTGATGAGATCTATTCAGCTATGACATAATTTTTTACATTTACCTGTCCTGTGACCTTGAGTTCATTATTCCCCTATATTATTTAAGCTCGGTTTCAACATTTTCAAATATACATGTATTTATAAGTTGTATGTTATTATTTAGGTGCGGATTAACTGCCTGTTATGTATTGGTACTATATTTATACTTTGTGTGTTATTATGTAGGTGCAGATTAACTGCCTGCTATGTATTGGTTACTATATTTATACTTTGTGTGTTATTATGTAGGTTCATTGTATTGGTTACTATATTTATACTTTGTGTGTTATTATGTAGGTGCGGATTAACTGCCTGCTATGTATTGGTTACTATATTTATACTTTGTGTGTTATTATGTAGGTGCGGATTAACTGCCTGCTATGTATTGGTAAGCTGCTGGAGTACATGGATAAATGGACCGTTCTGGACGACGTCTTCCCACTCCTACCTCAGATACCCTCCCGTGAGCCTGCCGTCCTAATGAGCATCCTGGGTAAGGGGGCATAAACTCCTAGTATTGACTGATGACAAACAAGCTATAATATTGTATAATTCATAAATTAAAGATTTTTTTCTGTAGGAATTTATCAGGTGACCATGTCGCATGCCAAACGAGGGATTACTAAGGACATCCTGGCTACAAAAGTTCTACCATTCCTGATACCAGTCAGCATTGACAGTAATCTGAATCTGTCACAGGTTAGAGAACAGCTGTATTCATAATGAACAATATTTGTAAAGTTAAAACATGGTCTCATTTCAATAGCTATTTAATGATTGTGTGATTGCTTGTACAAGTATGATTACTTTAAATACACACTTTATAATTATTAGCTCACCTGAGCTGAAGGCTTGAAAAAATTTGTCCGTTGTTTGTTGTTGTCGTCGTCGTTGTCGTCCTTAACTTTTCACATTTTCGACTTCTTCTCAAGAACCACTTGGCCAATATCAACCAATCTTAGCACAAAGTATCCTTCTGTGAAGGGGATTCAAGTTTGTTCAAATGAAAGGCCGTGCCTTTATTTAAGGGGAGATAATTAAGAAATAGTGAAAATTTGATGGTATGTTTTAAAAATCTTCTTCTCAAGAACCACTGTGCCAGGAAAGATGAAACTTATAGGGAAGAATCCTCAGATAGTGTAGATTCAAGTTTGTTCAAATCGTGACTGCTGGGGGTAGGGAGGGCCACAAATATACAGGAAAAAACTTTAAAAAATCTTCTCAAGAACCACTGGGCCAGAAAAGCTGAAACTTATGTGGAAGCATCCTGGGGTAGTCATGATCCCTAGGGGTAGGGAAGGGCAAACATAGAAATATATTGGAAAAAACTTTCAAAATCTTCTTCTCAAGAACCACTGGGCCAGAAAAGCTGAAACTTATGTGAAAGCATATAAAGAAGCAAATGATAGGGTAGAACTTAAATTTTATTTATATATAAAAAATCTTTGAAAATCTTCTTCTCAAGAACCATTGGGAAAAAACTGAAACTTATGTGAATCTTAGTGTAGATTCAAAATCATGACCCTGGGGATAGGGCTTGGTCACAATTGGTATTACAAAAGGGGGGAAATCTGTTAAAGAATAGCATGGCCAAAGTTTCTCAGGTGAGCGATGTGGTCCATGGGTCTCTTGTAATGTTTACAGTTCACTGCCTATATAACAACAATAATTGTGTATTCTTTAAACAGTTCACTGCCTATATAACTACAATCAAGGACATGATTAACAAGCTGGAGGCAGAGCATTCCAGTAAACTAGAACAGATCGACAAAATGAGACAAGAACAAAAGTAAGAATGAACAACAGACCTTTAATTAGGTTAAAAACTATTGATTTAAGAAAAGTAATTAATAATTTTATGTAATACATTGTACACTAGTTTTCTGGTACTGAAATAAATCCTTTTCTTAATCAGGTGAAATTGAATCAGTAGTGCTGATGGTTTATCTGGCCCACATTTTCTATATATTTAGTAACAGGTTGAAGTTTTTTGAGTGTGTAGATTTCAAAGAAACTCTCCTTTATATTTCAGAGTTTTTATATTTCAGAGTTGTTATTGCTGCTCTAACATTTTACGGAGATTTGGTATGATACTTATAGTTACTTGTAAGGTTGAGATGAGTTTTGTAATCTTTGATTACCCATTTTCTTCTTTCAGAACTATAGAAATTACGAAAATAACAGGACAAGATGAAAAATCTACCAAAACTGAGGAACCTAAAACTATGGTACAGTGTACAATTAATCAAGGATCTGTGTTATACATGTATATGAGTTCAGTTTGTAAGAAAGAAGACTATCATTTTTGAATTTTGTATTATCCCTTTTATTTTAGATCTAACGGCTGATAAGTCTATCTGCATAAAAATACCACATAATTAAAACTCTCAATGTGCACAGTAAAGAGATATCCTTAAAAGCCAAAATTTAATGAGATTTGATTTTTAAAAAGATCAAGTGAAATTAATTACAGATTTTCTGTCCATGTATGTGTATGTAGGTATATGTATGTTAAAAGCAAAAGTTTGAAATACTTCTTCATATTAATTTAATGTGATTTACTGCATAGATGGACCAGTTTTTGAGTGGGTTTGGTGTGGAACAAACTGTCACAAATAGTAAACAGACTCCTGAGCCATCTAGAACTCCAACCCCATCTAATGCCAAGGACAGCCAATCTAAATCTGTCCCAAAGGTAAAACTAGGACTGATTTCCATAAATATCTAAATGCATACCCCCACCCCCATGTCAATCTAAAAAATTATTCATAATTTTATTCAAAATGCCTTTCAGACACTCTCTCTAGAAGAGAAACAGCGATTAGCTCAGCAACAGGAGCAACAGAGGAGGTTTAAAGAGCAGAAGCCTCTAACAATGTCTGCCAGCAAAGCTGCACCCTCTGTATCAAAGTCACAACCCAAAGATTTAACTGCTTCATTGATGAACTCAAACACAATGGGACAACCAAAGATGACTGGAGGTCAAGGGCTGATGGGACAACAAAGTATGAATTCAAATGTTATGCAGTTTTCTCATGGTGTGTCTAGTACTAGTGGATTTCCAAATTATTCTGGGATAGGATCTGTGGGGCAATCTCAAAGTTCTTCAGGAATTCGACCAACATCAACAACAAACAATAAACAGTCATTTGATTTGTCAGCATTTGACTCAATTCTTCCTAGTTCATCACAACCAAAGGCAACTCTGAATCAAATGTCTGGTATTCAGTCACAAGGATCTTCATTTCCTATGAGCAGTTCATCAATGGGTTCAATGATGAATCAGCCTATGAGACCACAGACTATGTCAAGCACCAGTATGATGCCAGGACAGCCAGGGATGATGGGTAACTCGGGATTCATGGGACAGCAGAGCATGATGGGAAATCAGGGCAGGATGGGGAACCAGGGAATGATGGGAAACCAGGGATTTATGGGACAACAAAATATGATGAGTAAACCCCCCTCTATGATGCAGGGACAGTTTAATATGCCATTGAACAGTATGAATATACCCCAGAATCAAGGATTTAGTAACTCACAAAGTTCAAATCTCAGCAGTAATGATATATCAGATATATTTGGGTAACTTTTGTGATTTATTAATTAGCACATGTTGATAAAAGAGAGATTAATGCCAAAGTGAAAGATGTCGTTGCAGCATCCTTAAATATGTATCTAAAATCTTGTCATATTTTACGTTAACATTTCATTATGATAGTTATTTAACATGTGAAAGAATCCTTATTTATATTTTTTTTCTTCAACATTCCACACTAACTTTTTAAACTATTTATTTCTTTTTGCAATGCTTTGTGCAATATTAATATTATATACTTATATTCCATTTTACTGCTTTTATCAATGTAAATGATGTGATGAGGTTCGGATCATTATACTAATGAGAGAATGCACATTTCTTAATGTGCTTGAAAAATTTTTTGTATTTTTTTTTTAATAAGTACTGTGCAATTATGAGAAACTAAAAAAAACCAGAAGTCTCTGTCGAGACTGTAGCTCTACTGGTTTGTACTTATAACAAAGGATAAGAAAAGAAGCCATTGCAATCAGACCAAAACTGTAGAAGGAGTGATGTTTTAAAGGAATTTCACGGACATTTCTATTTTTAGTACTAATGGCAACATCATTCATCAAAATCAAAAACCGATGCACTATTTAATGTATCGTAGTGTAGTCTACTTGTGTGCCAAGTTAAATTGAAATCAGACCAAAACTGTAGAAGGAGTAGTGTTTTAAAGGAATTTCACAGAAAATTCTATTTTTAGTAACCACGGCAACACCATTCATCGAAATCAAAAACCGATGCACAGAATTATGTGTCTTAGTGTAGTCTACTTGTGTGCCAAGTTACATTGAAATCGGACCAAAACTGTAGGAGGAGTAGCATTTTGAAAAATTGTTTACAGACAGACAGACAGACGGACGGACGGACGACAGACACCTTACTATTGCATAAGCTCTTCTGGTCTCTGACCAGTAGAGCTAAACACCGATGCACAGAATTATGTATCTTAGTATAGTCTACTTGTGTGCCAAATTATATTGTAATCGGACCAAAACTGTAGGAGGAGTAGCATTTTAAAAGAATTTCTCAGAAATTTCTATTTTTATTAACCATGGCAACACCGTTCATCGAAAGCGAAAACCAATGCACAGAATTTTGTATCTTAGTGTAGTCTACTTGTGTGCCAAGTCATATTGAAATCAGACCAAAACTGTAGGAGGAGTAGCATTTTGAAAGAATTTCACAGAAATTTCTATTTTTAGTAACCACGGCAACACCGTTCATCGAAATCAAAAACCGATATACAGAATAATGTATCTTAGTGTAGTCTACTTGTGTGCCAAGTTATATTGAAATCAGACCAAAACTGTAGGAGAAGTAGCATTTTGAAAGAATTTCACAGAAATTTCTATTTTTAGTAACCACGACAACACCGTTCATCGAAATCAAAAACCGATATACAGAATTATGTATTTTTGTGTTGTCTACTTGTGTGCCAAGTTATATTGAGATCAGACCAAAACTGTAAGAGGAGTAGCATTTTGAAAGAATTTCACAGAAATTTCTATTTTTAGTAACCACGGCAACACCGTTCATCGAAATCAAAAACTGATATACAGAATTATGTATCTTAGTGTAGTCTACTTGTGTGCCAAATTATATTGAAATCAGACCAAAACTGTAGGAGGAGTAGCATTTTGAAAGAATTTCACAGAAATTTCTATTTTTAGTAACCACGGCAACACCGTTCATCGAAATCAAAAACCGATACACAGAATTATGTATCTTAGTGTAGTCTACTTGTGTGCCAAGTTATATTGAAATCAGACCAAAACTGTAGGAGGAGTAGCATTTTGAAAAATTGTTTACAGACGGACAGACAGACAGACAGACAGACAGACAGACGGACGGACGACGGACGCATTACTATCGCATAAGCTCTTCTGGTCTCTGACCAGTAGAGCTAAAAATCATCAATAGATGCTTACCAAGTTTGAAAAAGAGTGAAACAGTAAATGTTTGTTTTCAGGCTTGTATGAAGGAATGCATAATTACAGATTCTTTATATGAATTGTCATGTCAATGACTGTGTTATTGGAGACTGTGATAAGATTATTAAAGCTATGACTAACTTCAGTGTTCATGTTTAAATGTAAGCTTTTACAATATGTCCTACACATGACAAGAAGTTATTTCATGTCCATCATTTTCTTACCGACCACTGTGATTTTGAGTTTGGTCTGTTTGATTTGGATGTATACCCAGAGGTGTGATGGTGATACTTTCAAGTTTATTTTGGTAGTTACCCAATATGGTTGGATGAAATAGCCAACAAATTGGCAATAGCCAGAGCTCTCTGATAAAACCAATATAGCTACCAACATTGTTAATCAGAGATTACAGAAAACTCGGTTATAACGAAGTCATGGGCACCAATAAAATTACTTTGCTATATCCGTAATTTGTTATATCTGTATAAGGAATTCGTTAATTTATATAGCTGGGGATCTAAAATAACTTCGCTATATCCATGAATTCGCTATATCCGTGTTCGTACTAAACAAGTTTTGCTGTACCAAGCTTACCTCAACAAATGATGTCTTTCAGTAATAAAAAGTCCCACAATTAACATATATAGTAGTGTGTTTATGAAATTTTGGTCTAATAAGGCTTGCAGTTACTTTGAAATGAAGTTGTCTAAGAACTTTAACCTAGTCAGTGATCAGGAAAATATGTACCTTGATGCATCATCCATGCAAAGGAGTATATATGATAAGGTCCAATTTTGGCCCCCTAAAAATCAACATTGTAGAATGACATTCAGATATGTTTAATTGATATTTATTTTATAGAAGAGATTATATTAGAAATATTTCCAATATATTTTTCATATTTATATGCACTCACTAGCTGTAAATGACATGAGAAATAATGCTATTTTTGCTATCTTAACAAAAAAGCCAAAAATATGTCCTTTTCTTGATGTTTTTTCTTATGGGAAACATAGAGCGCAGTGTAGAACATACATAATTTTTCTGTCACTAATTAGTATTGGATAGATACATCTTTGGTAAAAATATAAAGCTTGTTCTAGGCTGCGCTCTATATTTTCAGGAAGAAAAACTGCTTGAAAATAAGCAGTTTTATACAAAATATGCTAAAATGGCTGGAAAACATGATTTTTATGACGTCATATTTCTAAAATAACGGCATTTAGATCAAAATGAAAATGGCCAGTAAAGGTAGCATACATAGCTGTATAATTTAAGGATAAATAACAGAAACAAACTTTTTTCAGAAATCAGCATTATTTTTCATAGATATACATTTAAATTGACATCCTGAATAATGTTTACCAAGTAGAGTGAGATAATTATATAAGATTTTGTCATAAGGTTAAAAAATTGTGCAAAATTTTGTATGGGATTATATAGAAAGCAAAACAAAATCTCATATCTAAGCACCAAGGAAAACCTACGATTTCTTAATATTTCAGGGATTTACTATTGATGCCATTTCAAATCAAAATCAGTCAAAATATATATATCAATCCGCGCATCCATTTTTTGTTTGTGGTAAGTACCCTTAAAGCTATATATAAAGTAAAATTGAGATATTCATTTTAAGGGGCCAATTGAGACACTTACCATATATCGCTCTTTGGTTGATATGCCTTATAGTTTCTTGGTCTTAGAGTATGGGGATATATTTATCTATTAACAAAGGTTTACAATTTCAGGTGCCTGTGTGAGGGCTACAGTGCTTTGATCTCCTGTGTTATGGTCATTTCCAGTACACAGAATTCGAGAGAACAGGCTCTGTAAATTTCTTCGTTTCTTAACCTGTAACGAATTAAAACATAAAACAAACTGTTAAATTAATCCTCTTTTATTGATTTATTCTTTAAAAAACAACAAATTTACAATCAAATTAAAATGATGCTTGTTTTTGCATACATGAAAAAAATCCTTAAAAATACAAAATCGCAAGTCTATTATTAAAAATATGCTTTTTTTGGTGACTTTTCCTTGTTTTCATAGTACATATATGCTATTAAGTACATTATTCTTGAGCATTTTAAAATGTGATATGCACTTCAACAAACCTGTAACAACAAAATTTCAAAAACAAAAAAAAAGTTTTAAAAAAATGAATGTCATGACAATGTTATAATGTACTTTGCACATACTTACATATTTATTATCCCCCTTTGTACACATTGCATGTTGAAATTTTTTTTAACAAAACGACATCCCAAAAAGATCTGTAAGAACATTATAATTTGATTACCTCCTGTAGCTGCACTAGACCTTTAGTATTCAATACAAGTACAAACTTAATCAAATGCATCATACTCCCCTAACAAAGTAATTCATAGGAATATGCAGGAAAATCATAATTTACTTAAACCATTCATGTTGTGGAAGATTACACATTAAATGACATAGGTAACATAACTTAATTACCTATTACAAATACAAGGACAGCGAAATCTTCAATGCATACCCAATAACCAAAAAACATAGGACATAAAATGATGCATAAATATGAATAAAACAAAGAATGGCTCATTATGGTGATAAACAAAAAAATGATTTTTACATCCAGAAAAAAAGGAAAATCATTGACAGATGCAAATTAGTCATAAAACAAATTTATATAAAACTATAAACTCCACAAAAAATATTTACACAATATAAAATTGCAATAAGCTGAACATGATACATAAACAACAGATCTGTTTGAATGATTTTGGACGTGGGTGGGAGATTCTGGGTGGAGATTCTAATAATAGTCCGAGATGTAGGGGCGGAGATCTTGATTGTCCCAGTGAGGTCGACAGTAACTCTTCACTGCGTGGGAGCCTGTACAGTGGTCAATAGGTACACTGAAAAAATAAAATCCTCTATTTAGTATGTACCTTACAGAGAACTAATAATTCCAGTTTATTAGTACTTGCAGTATAGTGAGTACTTTGTTTATTAAATGTAAAACAATTCAGTTCTGAACATTTAGAATAATGTACCTTGAATGAGTACAATATGTGCTGAAATACATTTATACCATAATTTTATTAAAACAAGAGATGTTTGTAAAACACTTATGCCCCCCTTCCCCAAATAATTGGAAGTCCAAGGGGCATAACTCAGTCCAAAATGGCTCAATTTTACCCAAAACAGAATTTGACCTGGATTTTCTTATGATAAATCTGTATACCAAATTTCATTTCAATAATTGCAACCTCTGCAAAGAAAAATTAAATAAACGGAAACTGCTAATAATAAGAATTTTTCTAAGTCCAAGGGGAATAACTCAGTCCAAAATGGCGCTATCGTACTAAAAACAAAACTTGACCTAGATATTCTTATGATAAATCTGTAAACAAAATTTCATTTCAATATGTGCAACTTCTGCGAAGAAAATGAATGGAACTGATGGTGGACCGAAAGACAGACCAACAGACAGACAGCAGCTGAGCAATATGCCCTCCCTTATTTGAAAGGTTTTAAAGAATTTCAAAATGCACTTCTTAAAATTACTGTTAAAAGAAAATAACCATCCTGGGTCTGAAATTGAGTCCATAAAATTTTGTGTCAATTCATGCTGCCATTTTAGAGGACAAGACTTGTATGTTCAACCTGTTTCTCACAGATGTAATTGAAAGAGGCACCGCGACAGGAAATTTTTTAGATTGAGCTCTTGTGCAATAAACAATTAAGAGAAAAGAATACAAAACTAAGTGCAACTTTTGAAAAAAGCACAAAATATAATTTAAATATACATTTTTTTTCTCCTAAGAATGGCACTCACTGTAGCTCTCTGATATGTATGTAGAAATACAAAGTGCTGACTTTCAAACAATTAGTTTAAACTCATCTTGATGCAGCAATTCTGGTTAAATATGAGATAAAAGGTAAAATAAGGAAAATCTACATACAAGCATTGAAAACAGAAAACAGGATGTGTAACTTTACTATCATGATTACATGTAAATGTAATTGCAATGACCTTGGTAAAAAAGTACTTTTAGAATGAAAATCTAAATTTAATTTTATCATACGAGTCATAATAATAACACTGTTAAAATAATTAAACTGATATTTAAGTTCAGAAAAATACTGTTACAACACCCTGCTTGGTAAGTGCTGAGCCTTGAATAACTTAGCATAACATGAGAAATGTATGTCAAGTTCATGATTGGTAAATGGTATATGTATAACTGATGTTATAGTGAGATTAAGTAAGATACACCAGAACCTATAAGACTGATTAGCATCACTGATTTATACATTTTGACTTGCCTATATAGGGCAGCTGTACAGGTTAGCATCTGTAACAGCAATGGAGAAAAGTTCAATTCATGCCACAGCTACTTATTAAAATATACATATACTTCATTAGAAAATGTGTCAGTAATCTACATATTCAATATTAATAATTTAATTTTTTACATTCACATTACTGGCAATTTTCTTAAATATCAACCAAAATACATACCGTAATCGGTAAAAGTTGATTTTTTTTTCCTTGTGTGCAATTTAATTTCAAACTTAATTCTGTATAGTACATTTCAAATACACTCTAGATTATAGCATTCATAAAAGCATCAAATTAAAGCTTGCACTGTGAATAACTGGAAATGAATTAATTACTGTTTTTCAAAGTGTAGAATGTTGGTCAGATGTATATGACAAAGCCTTTAAACCTGTGACTGTGAGCTTGGATTGGTTTACAGAAAGAAAAAGCTCAATCACTGCTCTTCAAGTATAAAATGTTAGGATCTGAATCCTGCATTAAACAGAGATTTTAAACTGTGCATACATCATGCATTGCATATTTGGTTTGAATCTTTTATGTCTATCTTATTGAGGCCAAAATGTGGCCCTGAACTAGAGTCAACCAGTCATAAGACATGGGTGTGACAAATATTCCATGCATTCATCAGACCAAGCATCAACAAATGCATTATGCTTAAAGTTTGGCTCCAATGTCACCTACATCATATCAAACCTTGAATAAGCTTCAATAGCATGAATAGTGAACCTTACTGATGTCACTGGAACATATAAAATACGTCAATTGCAAAATAAAAAGTCTATATCCAACTGAGTATCTATATCTATCTTTTCCTCCTTCAGTTTGTACTACATAACAAATAAGGCCAATATGAGTATCCACAGATGCATTGTATCTACAAGTAAGTTTTTGATTCCTACCGGAGTACTGTAAATCGCAGAGTAACTTTAACATTATAAAGCTTAACCCTATGTTTACAGAGGAACAGAATGTTAGAGTCAATTTCTCACCCAAATGAATTGGTTCCCCTGTTTAGCTGGTACTGCTCGGGGTTAGGCACATAATCGGAGTCCATAGCGGTGTACGACAATTCCTCACTCCGGCAGAGGTCAATCTGAGTGGTCGAGTACGTCTCATCGTTCAAATCCATTATCATTTCTCCCTAGAACAATCACAACTTCTATTTATTTTTTTTTTAACTTCTTCAAAGAATATGTTTTAATTTGTTGTTAAGTGCGGCAAAAGCTATTGTAAAGATAAAAAGTATAGGCTAACTTGTTACTATTCATAATCTGTAGACACAATCTCGCACACATATACCGATGTACATGTAGAGATGTACATGTATATATGACTTATATATTTGAGACATGATCTTGTCATTTTTTTTAGCTATTAATTTTCATTTTCTTTATACCTTCTCTCTGGTATTTCTTTTTTATTTATCCAAAAGTTTATAATTTCTTTTCATACAATTACTTTTTCTAGTCCCTCTCGGGTATAAGAGAAAAGAGAAAGATAAGGAAAACATTGTGCTTCTTACAAAGATAATACTAAATAGGCACAAAAGAGCAGACACACCACCAATATCACTTGAGTCTGACAAAGCAAAAAGCAGAAAACCAATTTAAAACACGCCATTTCTTTTAGAATTACTTTCCTGTTACTGAACAATCAGAGATAAAGACTGTGTTGCTCTAGATTGATAATTTTGTGCCAAATGTTGAAAACAGTGAAAAATTAAGTCAAACATCTGCAATTAATAAAATGGCCATTTTTTTAAACTTACCATGTCAAAAGGTTGAACAATCTGCTGATTTTAATCACATTATGAATAAATATTTAATAGAGTGTTTTTCTTAACATGAATCATAAAACTTCTGCACTTTGGCTACTTTATACTGCCTAAGTAAAGTGTATAAAGATTGCAATTCTTATTTTTCTCAATGAACTACAAGTACTTTAACATCTAATCATAAAGTGGGGAGTATTCTAGTGTCTTAGTTCCATAAATTTATCTCAAGTTTCCATACATTTAAAAAACAATGCCAGCAGTATTTGTAGCATCACTGTGTGATAAATGTTTTACCTGAGCGTGCTGAGGTTGAGTGTGACTCTGGTTATGTGAGATTACAGTACAGGTCAGTTTGGACTGCTGGACAAACACTGTCGCCAGCTGATTAGCACCGTACCCCTGGGAAGGGGCCCCCATAGGTAGCAAGTTCTGTCTCATCTAAAAAAGAAAATTTAGCTGATAATTAATACTCTTTATCATTTTTTATTTATCTTGCCTATCTTTGCAAATTAATGAGAGACCCTTTGACCACAAAAATTTCACTCTCGCATATCATGTACATATTGGTTTATAATATAAACAATAGTTAAGATCCATGAAACTTTTTTCTGTCTTATAAGGCGTAACAAAAAAATATGTTTGTTTACGGTTACCCAACCGACCCTAATTTTCATCGCCGACCCAAACTTTTTTTCTCGTCATAAAAATCCTGAAGTTACTGGCCGTGGTCAGTTTAACTTTTACATTCATCTTTGAAATCCAGGCGCGGATCCAGAAATTTTTTCCAGGGGGGGTCCACTTCAGTCAAAAAAAAATATCCAATCCCAGAAATTTCTTGACAAGCAAAAAAAAAAAAAAAAAAGTAAAACTCGCCCAAACTTCAAAAACCTATTTCGTGGGGGTGGGTGGGGGTAGTGGTGACTTCTATTGCCTCAAATCTTTAACTTTTCATACCCATTTCACACATATTCGTCTATACCGGGGGAGGGGGGGTAAGGTCTGCGTTTTCCAAGGGGGGTCCATGGTAACTTTTTTCTTGTTTTAGTATATACATTTTTTAACCCTTTCAACACTGTAGACCTCCACAACGGTCTGAAAAAATTTCTCCTTTCAACACGGTAGACCGTTGTGGAGGTTTCAGACACAAAACTGAGAGTAACATGTTTATTCTTAGAAATAGAAAGTATTCTCTGCGCAAAATCTTCGCTATGAATTATGGGTAGATTGATATAAACATCCTGTAGCAAATATGGCGGACCACATGGCAAAAATCACGGGAAAAAAGGAAAAATTAGACAAAGAACTATATAGGGTTTCTATTATAGTTTGGCCCCCGTTTTTGTTACAATTTAAACGCCAATAAACCTCAATGAAATTGATATTTTTTGAAAGATTAGAATTTATACTTTTCTTTTATGGTTAAATTGATATGTTGATTTAAGTAATATGCAGAGAATTAAAGGCTTAAAGTGACTAAGTTTACAAGAAAACGCCTAAAAGTGGCATTTTTAGCATCGTTATCGGCGATTTTAGGTATGTGCGACGCCTTGAACAAGAAAGATATTTACACACGTAAAAGATATTTTCAAAGAAAGTCTTCATTCAAAAAATTAATCTTGTTCATAAAGTCGCACACACTTAAAAAATTAAAAAAAACCTTGAGAAAAATAGCAACTTCTGACTCGCGTGACGTCACAAGCATGTACGGAGAAAGACGACGACGTTGTTGACATTTTTTTTATTTCGAAGGTAGCATCATCTATCGATTGCTTCATGTATATTTTCGACATAAAGTTCGAGACATATCTATTTTTGAAACATGTTTGTGATTAAAGAATATATTTTATCGGGATCGACATTGATCTGTTGATGTGTGAATGTACGGGTGTGGATCACAAGGAAAACGATGATCGAGTTTGATCGTCGAATCGCTTGAACTTCGTCTATTGTACATCAAATGCGTTCACAGAAGAAATATATACACAGTATATAAATTATTTGATCATGTTAAAATACGTGTATTGTGTGTGCATATTTCCATATGTACTTTATACGTTGTCATTTCTTCCCATATATCGTTCATTGTTTACCTGTTTACAAGGCAACAAATGTACGGCCAACAAGACGTGTAAAAAATTCAACGTTATTCTAAAAAGTTTGGGGTATTAGTAATTTCAATAAAACCAACTAAAACATTTTTTTTCTATAAATGTTTAGTACAAATACTCAAATAGAAATAATATTAGTATTTCTATAATTTAATTTTATTGCATAATTAACTTATTTATATGTACAAAAAAAAAATAATAATGAATAGGCCTAAATAAAAATAAATAGTAAGAAAGTTTTGAATCAATATTTTATTTATATAGTCAAAACAAAACAATAAAAATGCATCACATTTTTTATTCTAAAAATTCATTAATTTCTGAATTTTTAGAGTTAATGTGTTATTATAAAAACTATCACAGTGTGAATTATTAAATTAAATAGGTTTATACTTAGTTACGAAGGACCCATTATACATGTACATATACATAAGGTCATATACCCTTTGTCTAAACATTTTTTTTTTACTGATTACTGCAGTAACACTCAACATGATATAGTTTTTTTTAACCTCAACTATTCTATTTCTTATTTAATATTATAATATTTATTTCCCTTTTATTTTAATTAAATAGTTAAAACATTGTGATTTCTTTTCCGGACTGTACAGATAGGAAGTTTTAAAATACATTTTTTTTTGAGTGTTGAGAAAGTGGCATCTGTCATTGCTTAAACCTTCGTAGTTTGTAATACAGTCAAGGTTCTTACCCGTGTAGTTGCATTTCTTCTCGGAAAAATCTCAAAAAAGTACACTGTACCAGTTGAAATTAATTTTTTATCGAAGAGGCAAAATACTAGAAAGTTATTGATTGCTCAGTATATTTTACTGATTGCACCCTTCCCCCTCTATGATATCAAAACAAGATTCCGATATTTCACCAGGTCTGTTGGTGCACCTGTGTGGCGCAGTGGTTAGATCATTTGCCCATGAGTCGCAGAGTATAGCGCAGAAGTACAGGGTTCAAATCTCACTTCGGAATCGAGACATAAGATCTCGAATATTTAAAAAAAAAGTTCTCGAAAGGGTAGATAAAAAAATCAAACAAACAAACCTGTTCATTGAATTTGTGTATCTCCTCAATGGCCAGTTACATGAATTCGTATTGTTTTCTTTAACATTTTTATGTTTAATTTTAAAACCTTATATCATTATGCCTTTTGAATTTTTTAACAATGTATTGTAGGCAGTATTTACACGATCTTCCCTTTCTGATACTAACATTTTTGTACATGTTAATAGGAAAATGCCATCGATTTCAATGAAGAGAAAATTAAAAATGATTGATAGATTGTTTTCAATGTCCCTGTTGAGAATTTTTCTTTATATTGAGATACCACCACTTGCAGATGAAGGGCAACAGATTCTAACCTATACTCGGCACTTAGGGCAATTGACCAGCGAGAGATCTTTTTCGTGCCATCTCCTACTACATACGGGACCTCAGTTTAAACGAAAGATGCTTTAACTACTGCGCCACGTGGGCGACACTTTGGCTATAGAATCATAAATTAAAAATTCATGAATATAAAAAAATATAAGTCAATATGTCGTTTCACTACTTATTTCTGCACTTCAAATATGATCATGCAATGCAAAATTTTAATGTTCATATTGCAAAATTATGCTGAATGATACAGATGTATTTTTTTTTCATGAATTCCTCTGTAAAACGATAATTGATAAAATCCAATACGCAAGTTTCGAGATGATCTCCCTTGGTGCGCTCTTTCGTTGAGGAGGGAAGTTTGGTTGCCGCGTAAACAAACAGGTGGGACAGATATTTATTATTGGATATATCGCATCATCGATATACTGGTTTATCGTAACTATATAATTGTATACTGTTCAACTCGAAACAACCGAATTAAAGTTTCAAAGGTGTCATTTTTTAAAGCAAAAAAAAATCGGAACAAAAAAGAAAATTCAGTTTTGCGTGAAACTTTTCAGACGAGGGAAGAGATATATATGGACCTCTAATAAATACGTAACGGTAAACATGAATCTGATTATTACATGTCGGCAATCTAAATGACACATTGGTTTTTTACTTTATTATAACTTCAAAAAAAAAAACCCACTAACTTTTTAGAGAATGTTTGTACAATCGAGAAAATATTTTACTTTTATGAAGACCATGACGTTTATTTCGTTTTTAAGTACCCTATAATTGAAAATAGATTTATAAATATACACAGTTGAGCTTTATAAAATCATAAAATGCATCACTGATTAACATCTTTATTTTTCTATAACATTAAATACATTTTAAAAGCCATAGACATCGTTCATGTCCCACCTCCATGCTGAAATGGATACTTTTTGCGCCTCTATCGCAGGAGAGTTATAATCTCGAAACTGGCGTATTGATACTTAGCATTTCACATTTTCATCTGCAAGTGATTTGATTTTTATAAATGATTATGGTATAACAATTTTTGACAAGACTTTGAATTAGAGATTTAATCAAATCATAAATCATATGTATATATGTACTATGTACATGTTATATGTACTAGAATATAAACTTCTAATTTTTCTAAGTTACAAAGTTATTATCGGAAAGGACTGCATTAACGGACAGACTTATTGTAAGAGAGACAATTTGATTCCTGTCAACAACCACGTCCCTCAATACCAAGTTTTTGTTAAAATGTTAAATATTTATGCGCCCGAATTTATTTGGGGCGTATATTGTTTTTGTCCTGTCTGTCTGTTTATCTGTTTGACTGTCTGTTTTTCTGTTTGTCTGTCTGTTGTCATCTTTTAGCTTCACTAGAATGCATACTCCACTAACTAAACTCTTTCAACTGACACCAAGGCCAATGAACTTGTGACCTTGACTGTGACCTTTATGCTAAAAATAGTTGTTTTTTTTCGAACTTTTGCTCTAACTTTTGAACCATAGGGGATAGACTTTATATTTGGTATGCATACTTCACTAGACTTTATATTTGGTATGCATACTTCACTAGTAAAGTGCTTTCAAATGACACCAAGGTCAAAGACCTTGTGACCTTGACTGTAACCTATATGCTAAAAATAGCTTTTTCGAACTTTGTTGCCGCCGGGCGCATAGAGTTTAACAAACTTATCTTGTTTTCTTTATTCCTAAAAATATAAAGTTTAACAAAAAAAAAAAAAAAAAAAAATCGGAAAAAAATTGTATAAAAAAACGATTGCTTTTCTTAGGTAAACAACAACAAAAACTGATCTAAGGGAATAAGTCTGTACAAAATGGTTGCTATGGCAACGGACTTGCCTATCAATCTAATATAATTCTAAGTACAAAATCATCTTAGGGTATCCAAAATATAAATATTTATGGAAGATTTTATAGATGCTACCAAAATTACAGATCTCTTAATTGTCAATAAAGCCATAATTTCAGATATATTGGAATAAGTTTGAATACAGTTTCCATGGTAACGGAATACCTATTAAATTTAAAATATATTTTCTTAGTAAAATAGTCACTTTGACATATCCCAAAGTATACATACTATCATTAACTTAAGACAATATAGTTGGTATCAAAATTAAAGATTGGTTAAATGACAATAGATGGCATTAGATGCCAGATTTAGAGGTCTGAAGGTGTATGATTTTGACGACGGTTTCCATGGCAACGGAACGCCCGGTCAAATTAAATTATATATTTTTAGTAACATCCTTGCCTTATCCCTCTCCATAGTAAAGATAAACATTTTCTGGGTGGGGGCCTTAAATGGCCCTTACCCTATATACTTCTTTCAAAGGAAACAAAGAAACTAGCAAAATGGCGGTAAATATCGAAATGTCCGATGTTTCTGACGACGAAATATGATGTAAAAAAAAAGAATTTGGACATTATAAACATTCATAGACATTAAAGATATGCGTAATAAACATTGTTGTGAAAGGTAGTCGTCGAAACTTGACTCGGAAACGGACTACGAAGGCTCCGAGATGGACCATGTTTACGAAGCCCCGGACTTCTCTCAATATACAAGAACACCATGTTTTTATTTATTTATTTTTTGGACTTATTTTTGCAATAAATAATGACATGTTGCATATCATTGTAATCGGGAATAATTTCTCTTTTAAATGATGGTAAGAACATATGTGATTTTGAAACTTCATAGCAGCAAATTTATCAAAATATTAAATAAGATAATTTAAAATACAAAATATTATTTTTTATTGGCGCTTTTGTCTTGTTAAATAATTTTAAATGCATATAAATTTCATACCATCTAAAAGAAAAATGTCTTATCTTTCTTATGATGTGTCTGTTATTAAAATATTTTAATAAATAAAGAAGTTATTGTATTTTTTCTAACGGCAGATGAATTTTCCAATGATGGCTTAAGTTACTCAGTGTACTGGGGGTTGCTTGATAAAAGTTACTCAGTGTTGAAAGAGTTAACCTTGTAAATTCCAGGGGGGGTCCTGAACCCCCCGACCCCCCCTCTAGATCCGCGCATGAAATCGAAATTGAAAGTACAAAAACAAAACCAGGGGGGGGGGGGGGGGGTAGTGGTGACTTCTATTGCCTCAAATCTTTAACTTTTCATACCCATTTCACACATATTCGTCTTTACCAGGGGAGGGGGGGGTAAGGTCTGCGTTTTCCAAGGGGGGTCCATGGTAACTTTTTTCTTGTTTTAGTATATACATTTTTTAACCTTGTAAATTCCAGGGGGGGTCTGGTCGCGCATGAAATCGAAATTGAAAGTACAAAAACAAAACCAGCGGGAGTTCAACCCAATTTCTACACCACCGAGTTCGTTGCAATTTGCTTACCATTGCGAGGCAGTTGCAGGGGTGTGCAACTAGCATCGCCTATAGCCCGGTGCTACCGTTTTTGGGGTAGTTAAAATTAAAATTATGCATATAATACATGAGAAATACAAACGGTATTGTTTTGCTATTTAATTTCAAACTAATGAAAATTTTCCAGGCAGCATGCTCCAACTGTTCTTAAATTACTTTAACCTTATCCATTTTGAAATGCTACCTGACTTATTTACTTCAAAAAACGATCGTTTTTTCCTAATCCGAATTTCCTCCATTCCTCCGTTAATGGTAAATACATGCAGATATCTCTTTCCATTATTTGCGGTCCCCCAATCAACTAATAGCTAAGTGTTATTTGGTTAAACTTTAATATATAAAATTCCTACCTACCAACCCTATTTTAATTTCAGCATGTAACAGTAAACAAAGATATTTTTTTGTTTGGCCTAAACACCAAATAATTTTCTTGCAAAACTACAGTGTTTCAAAAATTTATTTATCTGAAGTCAAGAAGTCTCGAAACAAATTCATATAAGTGAAATAAAAATAGTCAGGAATTTACCAATTAGAAAACAAAACACACACAAAGAAGAGGCCCAATCTGATTCACTGTCGTGACCCTATCCCCAGAGGAAATGATATTAACAATTTAGATTGTATACCACCTCAGAAAGCTAACACATCAGTTTCAACTTTTCTAGTCCAGCAGTTCCCGAGAAATTTTTTGGTGATTTTCCCTCTATATTTCAATGTAAACCTTTGATTCCTCAATGCTTATGTGGCCCAACTTACCCTTTGAGGGCCATAATCTGAACCTTTAGAATCTATTCTACCTTTAAAAGCTTCCATAAAAATTAAATTTTTCTGACCCATTGGTTGTTGAGAATTTTTTCCTATAAATTCCAATGTCAAACTTTGATTCCTTTTAGTGGCACCACCCTATCCCAAAGGGAAAAATTATTTGAATAAATCTCCGCTTATCATATATTTATGTAAACATTACAAACTCAGAAGTCTTAAATAAAATCTTACCTGTTGATCACAATGAAGTGTGTTAAGATTAGGAGTGTTTGAGTTGTTATTATCAGTGAAGTTGTTGAGATCATAAGATTGTTCATCATTATGGTTGATTTCAAACATATTGTTCATGTCATGGCTTATATCAGTTGTGTGTGTAATACACTTTCTTTTCATGGAAGGAAATTGTTCCCCAGCCTGTCAAAAAAAATAATAAAATAAAATAAAACATTAAGCTATTTTGATTTGCAGTAAAATTTATAAACCTTTCCTTAACATTGATGTTTCTGCTATTTATTTGTTAAGCAGAAATACTTATCTCCCAGAAAGAAAGAAACTGGAAGTAAATTTATTAATTTATTGTTATTTATATTTATATGATATCTTTTTTTGGTAAAGTGTGGGGGCAACAAAGAATACATAAAATAATGAATCAATGGTAGATACAGATTTTATCAATTAAGTACTACCCAATAAAGTTGGTCTCTAATCTATTTTTTTCTTAATATTTTAATTTTTTTCTTGAACAGCCTGCCTCACATAACCCTTTACCTCATTGTCCATTTCACACTCAGCACTCTGTGAAAAAGCAGAATGTTTTCTTTTAATTCCATGGCACAAGGGCTGTCTTTGTGGTGACCAAGAAAAGTCAGATGCTGGCATTTTTCTAAATAAAAAATATATGCATCATTTGTTTATACATTTTCAAAATTGGAAGGATGTGTATATCTAAGAAAAATTTGATTCTTCTTTAAACTATAATAAATATATGTAACTATTTGACTCAGACGGTGGGATATTGATGCCCTTTGACCTTGACTGGAACTCTATGACATTAGAACATTAACTATGAAAAATGAACAACTTGATTTTTAGTGGCATTAAAACTTTTTTAAAGGTAAGAAACAAGAGTAGACTGTGCAGTGTTTTCCCTTAAGAACATGAAGAACAGGCTACTGGCCAAATTGACTGCTTCAGTTGACAAAAATGCCGATTTGAAATAAAAATTTCTTAAAAGGTCCACAGAGATTCTGTTCATAAATCTCAGCCCCTAGCCAGTTACAACTGATATCTAACCAGTAACTAGTGTTGAATAATCGGGAAAATTTCATAATCGATAATCGGTCAAAATCGGAGAAGCTTAATCGATCAATCATTGACTTAATTGGTAATTCAAATTTATAAAATTCGATTCTTTTCAGCATTTATCACTTTATTTGAAAAACTAAAAATAAAATTTTATCAAGTTTATTGTAAAGACAACTTTTTTGTTGTATAAGTAACAAAGAAACAGAATTTTTTTTTTTTTTTTTTTTTACATATTTGCTCATAAAACTAAAAACGTTTGTCATGACATCATATTTTGCAAAATAAAAATACAAGCCCTCACCACAGTTAGAATTCGTCCCATATACTTGCAATGTGGCAAATCGGAGCAGATACGCTCTGACACGATTTTGAAGAATATAAAAAGATTTGCACTGGAAATAACTTCCAAATAAATCAAAACAATCCTTTTAGAGATTGCTGATGCATTTTATCTCAAAAAATAATCCATATAAAGACGAAAATCCAATTAATGTTCTGAATGTTTTTCTCTTGCTTCAAAATTAAATGTTTACATTTTTGGAACTCTCTAGATTGTCCGTAGTAAGCACTAATGAAAAAAAAATTGCCCGTGTTTCTTTTGCTACATTACGATACATTGTTTTGTTGGGTCCGAGGAAAATATCATTATATATAAATGTTAACCTTATGGGTAAATTTCTAAATGATTGTTGTTACTTCGCCTTTGGACACCATTTTTTTACCTCCTTTCGTTTTACATGTATTGTTAATGTGTATGTATTAGTTTCGTTCAAATTTTACAAGTTTATTTGGGCGACAAATGAAAAACGTAATCGATAATAGACATCGGACTAACGATCGACAATCGTTTCATCACTATTTACCCTTGACTTTGAAATTTTGGAAAACTTGACTGTGAATTTTTTTTTCAATCTACATTTTGCTTGATCAAAGGTCGGGTTAGATTTCCAGGTCACTTTGCGTGGCACTGGAGAGGTCAATACAAAATTTAAAGTTTCAACAAATCTCGCTAAGATCAGAGACATATAAAACCAAAATGGTTTGATATGTCTCTGCTGAGATTTTTCACTGTGAGTTTGAGTTGCCATCTCAAAATATCATTAACCTTATATTCCTTACCTATCTTTATTTTTTTGAGTAGATCTACTTAAATTCATAACAAAAACAATTAAATATTTTAAATAGCCCTATATCAATATGGCTTAGATTAAAAAAAATCATTGATTTGTACAGTATGAAGTACAAACAGTTTTGCAAAGGAAGTAATAAAATTAAAATACCGGTACCCAAACTATGTGTCTTGTCACGCTTTCAAAGTTAGGCAGATGTTTACAAGAGTGAAAAAATAGGCAAGCTTAGCTCATCAATTTCCCTTTAACACAGGCAACAGTATTTCCCGAAGTCCCCCGCTTCTATTCAAATTCAAGTAAACATTACGTCACCGTGGATCAGGTTCTTTTAGCTCACCTGATGGGGGCACCGCAGGTGCACCTGTTTTTCTTTCTTTTTCGGCTGCCGCTTTCCCGCCGGAAGCGCTAATGATTAAGAATATATCTTCCGGATTAAAACGGATTATTGTTTTATCAAATTATTGTTTACCTAAATTTATCTGCTTTTAATTATTCTAAAAAAATCTTTGAAGTTTACAGAATATTACATACAACAAGTCTATATTGGTCACCTGAGAATGCTGTTATCAGTCAGCATTATCCATTTTTATCCGACTGTATTGGTAGTAGTTGGGTATAAAATGAAAAGAAATATTTTTTTTTATCAAGCACAGAACAAAGCTATGTTTTTATGAGTATTTGAGCTTTTATTGATTGAAAAAATTTTTTTAAAGATTTTTTATATGATACCCATGATGCACCTGTATTGTTTACATCATGGCGGCAAAAGGGAACATGTTTCTTGTAGGAACACGAATTTTGAACTCATTATTTTTGTTCATGCTTTTGACATCTGTAAATGCATCAACAACGGTTGAAACAACAACGGCAAATAACTTAACCGTGTCCACAACTGACGCAACGACTGTAGAAACAACTACGACAGAAGCTACAACTACACAAGTCCAAACAACGACCACCACAATACCCCCGACTACAACACCGCCAATACAGACCTTTGATCCGTCCGCCGTAGCTGCAAATATCAGTAAGTCAATATCTGCGAGTGACTGACCTCAAGAATTCCATACTCATAACTCAAGGCTGAAGGCTATATGTCCCCCCCACCCCCCCCCCCACCCCCCCTTAACCCTTTCCAAGTATTAGCTGTCCACTTTAACTTTTTCCTTTGGAAGCTAAATTTAAAGCTAAATTTTGCTAAATTTACTTCTCCCTAAAATTATATGCCCATTTTTAGTGTTAAATTTCTAAATTTGCATCTTGCTAGAAATGCAACTTATATGATGTGTATATGTATATATATACATATAAAATATATATATTAAAGTTATTTAAATTAAAATGCTCATGTATATGCTTTATTAGATTTAGGGCGATGTTGGTGTGATGTGACAGGAAATGCCTGTGATATAAACTGTTGCTGTGACACGGACTGTGATCAGACAGACATAGCTTCCTTTGATGGCCAGTGTAAGGAATCACCGATCAGGTATGTCATGTGATTGTGTTCATATAAAAACTAAATGAACAACGTAGCTTACCTTCTTCAAATTCTTGCCTTCTAGCATAGCTATCCAACTGAAGGTAATTTATATTGAAAATAAAAATATAATTTTTCTAAAACAGCATATAAAACCTTGCTGTTAAGGTTTATATGATATGAATAAACAAGATATTCTAATACTCCAATGCTAAATTTTAAACCCTTTGTTTGTACATGTATATAATTTGTATTGTATGAGCAGTGTGGACGCCAGATATTGTGTTCAGGAGGAGGTAATCCTGACAGATGATTCCGTCTACACATCGGAGAAAACTCAATCTGGCCTCTTCTGTATTTACAAAGACAACAGTAAGTGTGCTTATTCTCATTTTTTTAATGAGTAGAAATGTAAACAAATGTTTTCCACATATAAGATTATGTATGGATTCTTGTTAATCCAGGAAATACATAAGATTGATATTTAAATAATTGTAGCTGTATATACTCTTTTGAAAATTTTCAATATCCATGTCAGATTTCAGAAGTAATCATTTTTGTTTAATTTATAGTAGAATATTTTAAAATGAAACTCAACAGTTCACGTCACCTAATAAATTGTTGTATATGTAGTAATTTAATCATTGTTTTCATTTTAGACCAAGAGAGAAATTACTACAACATACCTGATATGATAAACTCCCTGGGAACGTTCAACTCGTACAGAGACCGATATGCAAGCTTCACTTATTCCCCAACAGTGTCAGCTGAAACTACATATTCACAGTTTTACAAGGTCTAATGGTTCTTCAATTTATTTCTAATTAAAAAAATAAATACGATTGTCAAAATCGTGGAAAAGCGTTTTTAAAAAAGTTGGGCGCACTAAGCTGAAAATTTCAGTAAATGTTTATTTATCATATTTAAGTGCATGTCGATTGATAATTTTTTGATTAAATATAGGCAAAAATAAAGATTTTATTATGCTTGAATGTGCCCGAGGTATTGTCCTACGGCGCACGGTAAAAAAAACGAGGGTTTATTAAAGAATACACAAGTTTGAATTCAAAATAAAAGTTTTAAATACATAAGATTTGGATTAAAATTATCCTAATTCAATTCCACAATCAATTTTGTAGTTTTTGTAAAAATTTTAAGGCATTTGCTTAATTTTTGGCAGTTTCTCGAGCATTCGAAATGGGAAATTGGTAAATACAACACACGAAAAATGGCGACGTTTTGTGACGTTACGGCGCACCGGAGAACAGCTCAGTTTTATTTCTATGTTGTAATGACACCTTTAGAGACTTGATATGACTATAGAAGAAAAAAGATTATAAAAATATCACCATATCTTAAGTATACAAATGAAATAGGAGTTTTCTTCTCATTTTTTTAATGAGCAAGTTTTTTTCCGAGTGTGTGAGTACATTTTTTACGGACAAACTTTAATGTAATTTAGCAAAGGACGCTGTCACAGTAGACCGCCGATATGATTTTCTATTAGTTGAATGATGGTGAGAATTTGTCCATAACTTACTAATTTTAAAATCGCATGAGGGTGCATTGGTTCTTCGGCTGTTTATGGAGACTAAAGAATGTGTAAAATGAAAATTTTTAAATTTCAGTGAAAACTTTTTTTTCAGCAAAGATAAAACGTACGCTGTTTTAACACTTTGATGTTATAATCCATGCGCTTTAAGCTGATACAATACTGGCATAAAATTCATAATTTGTTTATTTATGCATATATTTATCTGAAATTTTTCTGTGTATATTTAAAATATTACTAAATAACAGTGAAAATTTCAGAACGCAGTGATGTTTATTTTTCACACTAGACAACTTGTCCACGAAATTACGGGACAACCCTCGTCGATAAACAAATGAAGAAATATTGTAAAAAAGTTTACTGCACTCATATGAACTAAATATTATTATCAATAATAAAATATGGTTTTATACTGAGTGGTATGTTGTGCAAAATCATTTTCTGTGAAGAATATTTATAAATCGCTACATACCTGGTATAATTTACTGTGTACTCACAAGTGAAACCCTATATTTTAATATTGAAGGATTTAAAATGGTTTAAATTAAGTTCTTAATGCTGCTTTATGTCGTTATGTCATTTTCCTACTGAATGTTTCTCTGTAGGCAGGAGACCCTATCTTTGTTGTGTATGAGAACTTGGCTACAGGTTATTTGAACATCCCCCAGGGAGATCCTTACTGCTCCAGCAATAATCCAGTGTGTGAGTACATTTTTTACAAACTTTATATTCCTGTAGGCATATATCAGTGCACTGTATTACTTCTGTTTTAAAATTATTTTACATTCCAACAAGAGGAGAAATAGTGTAAAAGAAAATTTTCTACTTTTGAAAATCTTTTTTATCATTTGTACCATCAAATTTTATCTTTTTTCCCCCTTTCTGTCACTGAAATTTTACTCTGTGCTCTCCTCAACCTTTACAAATTTTTCTCTGAAGTTTTTAATATTTTTAAGACAGAAACTTCAACTGTGACACTTGTATTTGGACACTTTTTTGAGATTAATGAAGTGTCCAGGTTACTGAAACATATCATGGCATATAAATTTGAATTGTTCCCAAGAAATTTCATCAGAAACTTCAACTGTCCAGATTATTTTCATTTGGATTAACAAGGCTCAAATGTAGATGATAATCAGGGCAAATGCAAGAGGTTGACTTTTTTGTTTTCAAAAATTTTCCTCTTTAAAACCCAGTGTCATAAGGTGTGAGTTCAGAGTTGAGGTGTATATTATAAAAATTGTAAACATGGATTTAATCAACAATTTGGAGAAACTTTTTAAAATTTATCCATATCATGATGGTTAATATATTGTCACTGTCTTATAAAAGGGAAATATAATTTTGAGTATGCTTATTAGGAAAACAGGAGTTACATTGCTTAAATTTTACATTACAGCATACTTGGTTGACCAGAGTTTTAAGTGTACACGACAGATCCGAACACTGAGTGCCACCACCTGTCTGACCACATCCTACCTGAGTGCCTCCACTTACCTGTCCAATGTCAGAATCGTCAAGGTAGAAACCATACCTGTTGTATTTGTTTGTAATTATCATCATATGTGTATACTTCTTTCAGAAAAAATATGGAAACCTATATCAAAGTTTGTATTCCACAATGTAATAATGTAAAATGTAAACAATTTTTTTTTTATTTTTAAGAGATACAAAAAGGAAAACAATTTGAAATTATCATTCACTTGCTTCAGTTTTACTTTTTTTGCTTTTCTCCATACCATGAGCAATTAAATTTAATGCAAGTAAAATGTTTGATTTTACAGACCCCGTACCTTTTTACCTGGATTATAAATGGTACGGAGATAACGACCCCAGCCCCGACGACAACGGCAGCACCCACAACCCCCGCCCCCACAACGGTTCCCGTGACAACATCCAATGGTAACAGTCGGTCTTAGCTCCTAGTTCTAGCTGGAATTCAAAAAATGTGTTCAAAATCTTGTAGATGAATTTTTATTTTTGTTTGATCTTGGTTTGTTACAAACAGTATATACTTAATTTGATGCTGCATAAACATTCATCACAAATACATGTATAATAATTTTCCTCAGCCTTATGTAACTTCAGTACAGGAATAATCTTATTTGGAAAATATTAAGCCAACTTTTTATCTCAGCTTGCTCATCAATAATGAATTTCGAGAAATTACAGATAAATTGAATAGCATATTAACAGGCATGTTTCTCCTTCCATGTATAAAAATGATTAAATCTAAACACTGGTACTTTGATAAGCATATTAGATTTCAGTATAACTGCATGATTGTTTTTTTTTATTATTTCACTTTTATATATCATCTAACTTTTGTAATGTGTGCATTTATTTATTTTGATTTCATGTATACAAAGGTATATATATTTTTTGTTTATGGCTGCTCTTTGTTATCTCTCTCTGTCAATGACCTGATTTGTAGACACTAATACCACAGTAGACACCACCACGCTGCCACCGACCACCACCACTACCACCACCCAGGCTACCACCACCGTGTTACAGACAACAGGTATAGTCCACAGGAAGCCATGCAGTCTTAGGAAATAAAAACATTCTTAAAATGAGATTTGTATGATAATAAGGTTTAATTTAAATCTCCCTTTGATAAGAGTGCCCACACCCGCCAGCCCTTGTGCAGGAATAAATGGAGTAATTATTTAAAAAATAATGGGAAAAATGCAGCCTCATATACCACATCTAAGGTTGAAGTCATAAAGTTTGCATCTTTGATATTTATCAATTTAAATGTGAATCAACCTGACCATTGTTAATACAGGTTCAGCAGTTGATACTGTCACTGCTTTATTGGACAATGTTACCATGGTGACTGATGAGGAAGGTTAACACTTATTTTTAATGTGCTTCAGAATTTTAGAAAAAGAATAGAATTTCAGGCCTCAAGATCTCCATATCTTGGTGCACACTGCAGTTGAAATGCGCTAACACATATATAATAAGCAGATCTAAGCAGGAATAAGCTTATATTCTGGACAAACTTTCATATTAAATGCACAGATATTTCTATTGATCAAAGTTTTGCACCTCTTTGAGTGAACATGTATCTTGTTTCTCCCTGGGTACCTCTTTGAGTGTATCTTGTTTCTCCCCGGGTGCCTCTTTGAGTGTATTTTTTTTCTCCCGTGGGCGCCTCTAGGAATGTATCTTGTTTCTCCCTCAGTGCCCTAGCCATTTCTGTCTTTTTGCTTTGATCAATGTTGCAGCTTGAAGCAGAAAGTTCCTCCTGCAGGTGTTTCCAGCCATAATGATTAACCTTCAATTTCTCCTTTTCCTTTATAAACTCTTTATATACACATACTGATCATCTATGATCATGTTTTCTGATGGCAGTCTGTATACCTGGCACTAGTATATTTTATGACTATTCCTCATCTTTATGAAAATCCTACATTTAAATGCATGTTAGATACCATAACTTTCAGGAATTGCCATTCTTGTTAAATTATTCCTCATTGACTTGCCAGCTTTATATATAGCTTTAAGCATACTCTTTGGATTGCCCTTGAACATATGTTAAATCATTCAAATCAATATTCATTTGCATGTACTTTTATTAAATTTTATTCATAAGATGTAATTGCATGAAATTTATGCATACATTATATATGTCTTTAACATTAATCTTATTCAAAATATAAATGCTTCTTGCATGTTTAATGTACTAGTACTCACTCTGTAGCATATGAATCTTTGTGCCTTTCTTTATGACATGTTGCTGTTTTTAGTTGAGCGGTCCCTGTATAACAATAGCTACACTATGGAGTTTGAGCTGGAGAGAGTGGAGTGTCAGGACCAGACTGGTCTGGTGGTGGACTGTCCCTTCACCCCCACATCACCACCTAATGCCACCTTCAACACCTCACACTGTAATAATGTCGTTCTGGGGGTGAGTGTAGATAAAAAATACCAAAGAAAATGGTCAAACACTTGGAAAGAATATTTTTATAATAAAATTTTTTGTCAAGTATGCATGGTGGTGTTGAGGTTGTTAGTATGTCAGTAAATGTGAAATATTTTCCACGCTAGGTTGAATATCATCTCACCCATGATGGATCTAATGGAATTTCCAGAGCTGGAGTTCGCTTGACTATTGGAAATATCCAGGAATCCGATCTACCACTTACTCAGACTTACGGCTCCTCTTTTACCTCAGTAAGAGTTCAGTGTTATATAACATCCATATGTATGCTCAACAACTTCGTTTAATTAAGTCAAATAATGTCTTATTTTATTCCATTTACATTTGAAAAATTGACTTCATATTGACATGATATGAAATTTTATGAAATTAAAGAAATGCTTTTTGAGAAGTTAAAAGTGTTGACATTTTAAGGGATTTTTTAGATGATAAAAGTTTTCGCTACCTGTGTAAAAACGTATGCTTTGCCTTACAAATTATGTTTTATTCAATAGGTTAATGAAATAAATAAGACAATCGTAGAAAGAAGTGGAAACCCAGGATACATTATAGGAAAACCAGTAAGAGCTGGTGTCCTAGTTCTAAATGCCACAGGGGATAGTGGTAATAGGTAAGAAATAATACATTACAGGGGTTAGTGGTAATAGGGCAAGAATTAATATATCATAGAGGATAGTGGTAATAGGTAAGAAGTAATACAGTAAAACTCGGTTATAACGAAGTCACTGGGACCTGTGAAATTAATTCGCTATATCTGTTATTCGTTATATCCGTATAAGGAATTTATTAAAATTATTTAGTTGGGGATCCAGGATAACTTCGCCCTATCCGTAAATTCACAATATCCGTGTTCGTACTAAACAAGTTTTGCTGTACTTCTCAGGGGATAGTGGTAATAGGTAAGAAATTATACATCAGAGGGGATAGTGGTCATAGGTATGAAATAATACATCACATGGAATAGTGGTAATAGGTAAGAAATAATACATTACAAGGAATAGTGGTAATAGGTAAGAAAATAATACATCACAGGGGATAGTGGTAATAGGTAAGAAATAATACATCACATGGGATAGTGGTCATAGGTAAGAAATTATACATCACAGGGGATAGTGGTCATAAGTAAGAAATAATACATCACAGGGGATAGTGGTATATGTATTATGTGAGAAATGGTAACTTAGGCCACATTGAAGGGAAACGAAAAAAATCATACATGATCAGAAAAAATTGCATGTTGTCAATATGTGTAGTGCCAATTAATGGTTCAGCCAATCACTGCATTCCAAATTGTTGCAATAAATTTTGAATTCCTAAATGTGTATTATGAAAATGTACTGTAAGTCATTTTAATGTAAAGAAGATCAATGTTTAAATGCAAATGTACCTGTTATATCTGTACATGTATATAAGAATTTGAATGTGCCTGTTTAATCTCCAGGTACGCTATAGTGGAGGAGATGTATAACATGACAATCATCAAGGGCTCGGCCACAGGCACCTGTCTGACGGACGCGGCCACCAGGCAGCAGATTAACTTTGGTATCAACATGGCGTCAGGATGCCTGATCAGGTAAAACTACGAAAAACTCTGGTTAGAGAAAGGTTATCTCACCCAGCATTGAGCATTTCTTATTGAAATGTAATTTATGATTGTAAAAGAAACCAAAGATCTTTAAAGTTTCGTACTGTTTAAATAATAATAAATCCTTTGGATCTGATTACATGTATATGTATCAGCTCATGAATGCTATAGTATATGTTAACGTGTTGACCACTAGTGATTTTGATGCAATGTTGACAAGAGAAATATATTGTGTATATATGCCAATTACTATGTACTACACCATGTAAAATATCATTAACTGTAAAATCTATGCAGCTAAATATAGAGATAAGATGAGCCGTTCAAAGCAAAAACCCCCCTTATGTCAAAAATTTTCGAAAATGACTTTTTTCTTGAAAAATGATGTAGACCCTTAGGTAAATATAACCTGTAAATATTACAGGTGTATCTTGTTCCGTTACCGATTTACAGGTATTCAAAGTATGCATCGTTTATACGACTGACGTCATATTTTATAAATTTTCTATTGTAGCGACGTCGACGTTTTAGCGACGTAATAAAAACAAGAATTACTTATACGCAATAATTTGGTATTGTTTGCCGTTCTGATTAATATATATATGCTTAATTTGTTGTTTTCTTTTTTATGAGAAAGTTCAGTTCATTTTTTTCTGATTTTAATTAAAAATATGTCAATGGAGTTTAAAAAGTCATATGATTCGCTGACTTAGAGAAAACATTACAAATAATTGATAGGTCTTTATAAAACATTACAAATAATTGATAGGTCTTTTATAAAGTAACATTCACTTTCAATTTTACTACTTAAGTTCAGCCCAAATCTTTCAAAACCAGCAACAATAAAAATTATTTTAGCTCCTATCAATTTATTTAATTTGATAATTGATTTTACTTGTCCAACCTTTGCCTTCAAAACACTGACCAAGAGACAGCATTAAGGGGCAGGGGCCTGCGCTTTTATTGATGAACACGACATAAGGATTTTGTAAAGTATGGTATATCATTGTAATTGATGAGTACCATTTATCCTTTTTTCTAAATACTGAACTACATTTATGCATATTCTTTGCTTAATTATGTCCTCGTTTGTTTAAAAAAATATTAGAAGCAAAGGGGGAGAACTGCAATGAAATAAAAATATATACATGTAGGTACTAATATAAAGTCAATTTAGACTAGATATATACATGTTAAATCTGTAATTTATGAATAGTTAAAGTGTACTTTCAGATTTCAAATTAAGAAATAACTAAGAAAAACATGAGCCAAAAAACTGAGAAAATGGGTAAGGCATTTGATTCAGCTTTTAAAAAAATTGTATATTTTATTATTTTCTACCATACAATCATGTACAAGTAATTAATATATAGAAGATTGCCAAACATACAGCCCCATCTATATCTATCAACAAAATTATGAGAGTCGACCCTCTTGTGCTTTACGCATAGATCTATGAAAATGAAAGTAATGACTTCTACTTTCTCAATATATAAGTCAGTTATGCGGTCCGAAAAAAACATGCATGTATGTTTAAAAAAACATACATTTCACAGTTTAAAAAAAAACCAGGTTGTTATGAGGCAAATTTCACAGGTCAACACTTATAATATATCATGAAGGTCCTCTGAAAATGTACAAGAATGTCAAAAACAAAAAAAAATATAAAAAAAAACAACGTGTAAGTCAGGGGCCAAATCAGAGCAGCTTTTAAAGTCCTCGACACAAATGTACAATATTTGATGACCGTCTTCATAGAAAAAAAAAACACATAAAGAAATTCTATAGAAAAGAGAACATGTTTTACGCTCGAAATCTGCACATTGGACTGTCTTTCGAATAAAATGCTTCTCATAAATTATATGTGTAAAATATATTCTATCCCAGTCTACCCAACATTTTACACACATACAAAGAAGCTCCACTGTGCAGAAGGGGGGATGCTGGCCATTCTCTGTCACTTCATTAACATTTGAACATGTGACCATCCTTACCAACTTACAAGGAGTCCACGTGTTCTGAAAGAGGGGGGAGGAGTTTAGTAGGTTACTTTTGTGTTAGTCTTTAGTTGAATTTACACTTAGACCAGTCCTTCGGATGAGTCTGTATAAACCGCGGTCCCGCGTCGCAGTAAGTGCTGGCACGAAAAAGATCCCTCACTGCTCAATGGCCATAAATGCAAAATTTGCAGCTCTCTACCGGCAAGTGGTGGCGTCTCCATATGAGTTAAATATTCTCGAGATGGACGTTTAACAACATACAAACAATCAATCTACTAGTATTTAAATTTAAACACTTGAGAAAGGGTCATCACCTGAAGTTTCGCAAGTTATCTAGAACCTTTGTTTATATAAGATGTTTCCGAAGTTATCTAGAAACCTTTTTTATACAAGATATATCCGACTTTTGTGTTTGACACCTTTAGCGGAAAGTATATAGGGAACTTATACTGCGTCGCTAGTGATCTAGCTTTTTTAGGTCACCTGAGTAAACTCAGGTGACCTATTGCTATCTGTTTTTGTCTGTCGTCGTCCGTCGTCTGTCGTCCGTCGTGCGGTGTGCGTCGTGCGTTAACATTTAAACATTTTCAGCTTCTTCTCTGAAACCACTGAACCAATTTCAACCAATTTTGGCATAGAGCATCTATGGGTGAAGGGGAACAAAAATTGTGAATTTCACTGGTCCCCGCCCCCCTGGGGCCTGGGGGGTGGGACAAAAATCACTAAAATTAGTGCAATCTTTAAAAATCTTCTTCTTTACTCCCGGAGATCAAGCAGTCAAACTGTTGGTATGATTGTAATCAGCATTGAGTCCTCTACCGAAATTGTGAAATTCATGGCCCCAGGGTCAGGGGTTCTGGTGTTAGGGCGGGGCTCTATTGATTATATAGTGAAAATGCATTAATTCTTTGAAAATCTTCTTCTCTGCTCTTGGGAATTTAATAAACAAATTAAGTTCTTAGTTATGATGAGCAAGAGTGGCTCTACCAAAATTGTGAATTTTATGGCCCCAGGGTCCGGGGTTCTGGTGTTAGGGCGGGGCTCTATTGATTATATAGTGAAAATGCATTATTTCTTTGAAAATCTTTTTTTCTGTTCCTGAGTATTAAATAAACTAATTAAGTACATAGTTATGATGAGCAAGAGTGTCTCTACATAAATTGTGAATTTTATGGCCCCAGGGTCAGGGGTTCTGGTGTTAGGGCGGGGCTCTATTGATTATATAGTGAAAATGCATTAAATCTTTGAAAATCTTTTTCCCTGCTCCTAGGTATTAAATAAACTAATTGAATAAAAAGTTATGATAAGCAAGAGTGCCTCTACCAAAATTGTGAAATTCATGGCTCCAGGGTCAGGGGTTCTGGTGTTAGGGCGGGGCTCTATTGATTATATAGTGAAAATGCATTAAATCTTTGAAAATCTTCTTCTCTGCTCCTAGGTATTAAATAAACTAACTATGTAAATAGTTATGATGAGCAAGAGTGCCTCTACCAAAATTGTGAAATTCATGGCCCCAGGGCCAGGGGTTCTGGTGTTAGGGCGGGGCTCTATTGATTATATAGTGAAAATGCATGAAATATTTGAAAATCTTCTCTGCTCCTAGGTTTTAAATATTAAACTAATTAAGTACATAGTTATGTTCAGCAAGAGTGCCTCTACCAAAATTGTGAATTTTATGGCCCCAGGGTCAGGGGTTCTGGTGTTAGGGCGGGGCACTTTAATGATTATATGGTGAAAATACAGTACATCTATGAAAATCTTTTTCTCTACTCCTGGGTAATAAGCAGATGAACTATTTACATAGTTATGAATTGGGCTCTTCTTCCAGAATTGTGAATTTCAAGGCCCCCTGGGTCAGGGATACCAAAATGGGGAGGGGGGGGGGGGGGCTCTACTTATATACTGAAAATGAATTGTTTGAAATCTGATCCTTGGTATTAATCAAACATTTTTAGGTCACCTGAGTAACTCAGGTGACCTATTGCCATCCGTTTTCGTCCGTCGTCGTCCGTCGTGTGTCGTGTGTTAACATTTGAACATTTTCAGCTTCTTCTCTGAAACCACTGAACAAATTTCAACCAAATTTGGTATACAGCATCTATGGGTGTAGGGGAACAAAAATTGTGAATTTCATGTTCCCTGCCCCCCTGGGGCCTGAGGGGTGGGGCCAAAACCACTAAAATTAATGAAATCTTTAAAAATCTTCTTCTTTACTCCTAGATATCAAGCAGGCAAACTATTGGCATGAATGTAATGAGCATTGAGTCCTCTACCAAAATTGTGAAATTCATGGCCCCAGGGTCAGGGGTTCTAGTACTAGGGCGGGGCTCTATAGATTATATAGTGAAAATGCATTATTTCTTTGAAAATCTTCTTCTCTGCTCCTGGGTATTAGATAAACTAACTAAGCACATAGTTATGATGAGCAAGAGTGCCTCTTCCAGATTTGTGAATTTTATGGCCCCAGGGTCAGGGGTTCTGGTGTTAGGGCGGGGCTCTATAGATTATATAGTGAAAATGCATTATTTCTTTGAAAATCTTCTTCTCTGCTCCTGGGTATTTAATAAACAAATTAAGCACATAGTTATGATGAGCAAGAGTGCCTCTTCCAGATTTGTGAATTTTACGGCCCCAGGGTCAGGGGTTCTGGTGTAAGGGCGGGGCTCTATAGATTATATAGTGAAAATGCATTATTTCTTTGAAAATCTTCTTCTCTGCTCCTGGGTATTAGATAAACTAACTAAGCACTTAGTTATGATGAGCAAGAGTGCCTCTTCCAGATTTGTGAATTTTATGGCCCCAGGGTCAGGGATTCTGGTGTTGGGGTGGGGCTCTATAGATAATATAGTGAAAATGCATTATTTCTTTGAAAATCTTCTTCTGTGCTCCTGGGTATTAGATACACTAAATAAGCACATAGTTATGATGAGCAAGAGTGCCTCTTCCAGAATTGTGAATTTTATGGCCCCAGGGTCAGGGGTTCTGGTGTTAGGGCGGGGCTCTATAGATTATATAGTGAAAATGCATTATTTCTTTGAAAATCTTCTTCTCTGCTCCTGGGTATTTAATAAACAAATTAAGCACATAGTTATGATGAGCAAGAGTGCCTCTTCCAGATTTGTGAATTTTACGGCCCCAGGGTCAGGGGTTCTGGTGTTAGGGCGGGGCTCTATAGATTATATAGTGAAAATGCATTATTTCTTTGAAAATCTTCTTCTCTGCTCCTGGGTATTAGATAAACTAACTAAGCACTTAGTTATGATGAGCAAGAGTGCCTCTTCCAGATTTGTGAATTTTATGGCCCCAGGTTCAGGGATTCTGGTGTTGGGGTGGGGCTCTATAGATAATATAGTGAAAATGCATTATTTCTTTGAAAATCTTCTTCTGTGCTCCTGGGTATTAGATACACTAAATAAGCACATAGTTATGATGAGCAAGAGTGCCTCTTCCAAAATTGTGAATTTTATGGCCCCAGGGTCAGGGGTTCTGGTGTTAGGGCGGGGCTCTATAGATTATATAGTGAAAATGCATTATTTCTTTGAAAATCTTCTTCTCTGCTCCTGGGTATTAGATAAACTAACTAAGCACATAGCTATGATGAGCAAGAGTGCCTCTTCCAGATGTGTGAATTTTATGGCCCCAGGATCAGGGGTTCTGGTGTTAGGGTGGGGCTCTATAGATAATATAGTGAAAATGCATTATTTCTTTGAAAATCTTCTTCTCTGCTCCTGGGTATTAGATTAACTAACTACTGTAAATCACTTTTTATTCGCGAGAACTTTATTTTCGCGTTATTACGGTATGCTCGCGAAAATTTCATTCTCGCGTAAAATAGAATTCCTTAAGATTATATAGAGCAATAACCACGATTCGTGAAAATTTTGTTTCATTAATAAAGAGGCAATGATTATCTCGCGAAAGTAAGGTGTCGCGAAAATTAAGTGATCTACAGTAAACACATAGTTATGATGAGCAAGAGAGCCTCTTCCAAAATTGTGAATTTTATGGCCCCAGGGTCAGGGGTTCTGGTGTTAGGGCGGGGCTCTATAGATAATATAGTGAAAATGCATTTATTCTTTGTAAATATTTTTCTTTGCTCCTGGGTATTAGATTAACTAACTAAGCACATAGTTATGATGAGCAAGAGTGCCTCTTCCAAAATTGTGAATTTTATGGCCCCAGGGTCAGGGGTTCTGGTGTTAAGTCGGGACTCTATTGATTATATAGTAAAAATACATTTATTCTTTGTAAATATTTTTCTTTGCTTCTGGGTTTTAAGCCAATGATCCAAGTATATATATATTTATGATGAAGAAAGGTGCATCTAGCAAAGTGGTTTTTAATGCCCCAGGGTCAAAGGGGCGGGGGGGGGGGGGGGGGTTACATAGCCTGAAAATAAATTAATGCTTTGAAATCTGCTCTTTGGTATTAATCAACCATTTTATGATAAAATTTGCAAAATTTTGAAATATATGGCCCTGGGTCAGTGGTTCCTTTGGGGTGAGGTGCACAACTGGTTATAAAGTGGAAGTGCATTTTCTCTTTGTTACTCTGATCTACCTCTGGGTATTAAGTAAATAGAGTAAGCATGCTAAGTTAATAATTATGATAAGCAATGGTGCCTCTTTCAAAATTGTAAATTGTGAATTTCATGGCCTCCTGTTTAAACACGAACCAAATTTAATTTTTTGAAAGTTGTTACACAATACTCAGGTGACCTATAAGGCCTCTTGTCTAGTGATGCTGTAGTCTCTCTCTATTTCAGGCAAGTTAAGCAACGGCGAGCCTGTTTAACCATTGAGTGGGTGACCGCTCAAAACATGGAAAGTAATGAGATATAGGCCTATCTAAATGACATGCAAAAATTTAGGAGCTTTTCAGACAAACATGATTATGTATACTTTGTGGTGTCAAGATCATTTATTTAATGATTTGTTTGTATCTTTCATTAAGCACTTTAAACTGAAATTCTGTATCATTGCAAACGTTGTTTAAGGATACATTGTAATTGTTTGAACAGCAAATTGAAAATTGCATTCACGATTTCCGTCATTTTATTGTCTCCTGATGGAATCTCAATATATTGATAAAAAAAACTTCACTATTATTTCTTATTTATTTTTTTCACATTTGCATCTACAATGTCAAAGATTTGTCTTGGTACAGGTCCACTAAAAATGTTTTCCCGTTCACATAGGTTAAAAAAAACATGTCAGAACGTTTTTCAAATCATTCGACAAAAGGGTTTATAACATGATAAATACTCCTAGCTCTCTGATATTCCAAGATCTAGCATTGTGGAAAAAAATTATGTATAAAAAGGTTATGTTCACTTGCATGTGATCTTCCTGGTAAAAAATTACGAACATTTACTTCTTGGTACGGTAAACGAGAATTAGATCGGAAAAATCCAAAGTGATAAAAATATTTTGGAAATGTATTTTTTTTTTGCGCTCAATTTACACTCAGGTGAACAAATATTGTGCTTACAATCATGCACATAAAAAAAAAATCCGGGAGGGGGGGTTGCATAGGGCCCCTCTCCGCATTTTTTCTGAATTCATGTAATTTAAATTTCCACTGTTAACATTAGCATGCAATGATGCCCGGGGGGGGGGGGGGGGGGGGGGGGGGGGGGGGGGGGGGGGGTTAAGAATAACTTAACAAGCAATTAGATAAATAATGTAGGTGTGCATGTCAAATACAGTACTTTTCAGAACTTCAAAAATTTTGTAAACAGAGATACATGTATGTATTTATTTCTATATATGCTTTATTACATACATTCTTATAATTTTTTTGGTGGTGGTGGTGGGGGGGGGGGGGTTACAACAGTATTAACAAGGTATCGATATTTTCAACACATAACAAAAAAGGAGAATGTCGGATGTACGTCTTTTCAATTAATGTAGCTTTGTTTTCTGAACTAGGGTCACTTTTCTTCCAAAAGGTTCTGGGTCTACTATAAATGAAAAAAAAATACCCCGGATTTAGATCTGGCATTGGTGTGGTTTAACAATGCTGTCATTCAGTTTTCATTGGTGTTAATTCCTGTGCAGTTTTCTTGACATGTGAATAAGTCCAATAAATTTTCGCCAAGACTTCGGATTAAAAAAACACAGTTCAAACTACTCTTCCCTTCCTTCCTTTTTAAAAATATTTTTACACTCAATATCATCATTGCATGTAATTATATTTTGTCGTTGTTGAATAAGAAAAAGTCGTAAATCTGAATTTTAAACAATAGTTGCATGTTTTATTTAATTTAACTGAAAACTTATATTATACATGGAACAGAATTATTGACAAATTTTATGCATTTAATTAGAACATTCTTAGGTCGTTTTAATGTGTAATGCACATGTAGTTTAACAACAATCAGAGTCAGATATGTTATGAAATAGACAAAAGTCATGAAAGAAAATATGCAGAAAGCACAACGAAGAAAATTCTGTGACGTAAAACATAGCATGTAGTTGGAAAGCAGTCAGTGCACGATATATTTTGATCGCAGTTTTTGTTGCAAAACAATGACGTCGCTTTTTCTATTGTGACGTAAAATTCTGTCAGATTACATAAGGGGGGTTTTTGCTTGGAACGGCTCAGATTATATTGCATGATTGAAAACTGGCCTACACATTTATTTGGTTTTAGAACCTGAGCAAAATGCTCATCTGAGCTTTTCTGATTAAATTGTCAAATGATAAAATGTCTGTCAATCAGGTGTCATCTGTAAACTTTTTATATTCAACTTTATTGTTGAGAGATTTTCCCAGAATGGAGTTTTCTTTTCAGGTTCAATTTATATAACGTGTCAGCAGATCAGTATTGTCAGGCCATGCAGGAGGTCGTGATTGACGCCATGGAGGGCGTGGTGGACACTGTGACCCGGGACGACCCCACCAGACTGAGGCGGGTCGCGACCTACGGGAATTCTGACCCACTAAAACCAGGAGACTGGGTTCAGATACTGAGGGAGCCACCAGCTCCTGCAGAAGTGAGTTCACCTTGTATACATTAACATGCTCTAATATTTTAAAATGTTTCTGGTTTTTGTAATTTCATATAATAAAAACATCTCTCTTCAAATTCACCACTGATGCAATGGAGCAATTATTGCAAAAAAATCTTTTAAAAGTATTTAAACCAAAGAAATAAAACCTGTCTTTTTTTTGATTTAGGGTTCCAACACCCAGGAGGGTCCTGTGTGCACAATGTCCATGGGGATGCATACAGAGATCCTGTATGCCAACACGGGAGCTTTAGCAAACCCTCAACCCAAAATCATAGGAGTCTCGTACAGATACGAGCCTAGACAAGATGTTACATACACAGTAGGATTTTATTTTCATTTCAAATACTTTAAACATACCTTTTTCCGCCAATCAAAATTTTGCTGATTACAGTATCTGTTTTAATTCCCCAGTATATTTTTACACTGAATTCTTGAATTGCAATTTTTGGTCTTAAATGCACTTTAAGTGAGTTTTCACAAATTTCCATGGAAAGTTTGTGATTGCAAAGTATAAATGAAAGCTGAACATGACTCGTAAATAGAAAAATGCCATATTAGCTTTACTGTTACTGATATCAACATTTGGGTATATCCTTTGCATTCGTTACACCCTGACTGCTTTATTGTCAAGCAATGGGTACCAGCGTGGAAAGGGGACTCATGTTGTTGCTGGTTATCGTACATTTCCTTTGTTTAAAGTTTGTTGTAGTATACATGTATTTGTTTGTATAGTGTATACTGAACTGAACTGTGTTCAAATGATTCAAGATTCTTCGGTATCTCTCTCTCCCTGGCCGTGGAAGAAGTACACAGTTATTTTTGTTGCTACCAAGTGTTTTACAATAGCTGTACAGCAATATCAGTCTACAAAGGTGACAACTGATGACAGTGAATAATGACTACCGGTACATTAAGAGAATCGCTTATATAGGACCCTCAGATAGAGTGACGAATAAAAGAATATGGCCTGCAAAAAAGGGTGTCCAAGCACAACATTTACATGATTTTTTATATTTTTAAAAAGATATATACCAGGCACGTAAATAATCATGTACAAAGAATAGTGTGTAAAAATAACATTATCTATGAGAAATGTAGGATTTGTTTCATATTTTAAAAAAATACATATATATGATACCACTTTATAAATTATAATTATGTATAATGGGGAGATTTGCAGTAATTGAAGAATATGATAAGAAAGTGTTGAATATTTTTACAGTGTGAAGGGTCACGTTGTACACCAGGAAATACAGAGGTGGATCAATCATTTGAGGTGCGACACTCAGTGACTTTTATCGATGCATCTCAACCTGCCACTGGTTATGTGGGGGAGCCACCTGTCTTCCTGGCAAAAGTGCCCAGCGATTTCTTCTATCCATTTGACAGCAGCCATGCATCTCAAATTAGACTGTTTAATTATTATCACATAATTTGTTTTTTCTTACTATGCAAAAATTTTATTTCATAGGGGATGTATTTTGTAGGTTTTATTTATTTTTAGTAATTTCAAATTGAAAGGGAATCATGTTCGATGCTTGCTTGAGAACCTACTTAAATGTAGTTTAAGTATTGTAAGTTGATATCAGGGGTTTTCGCTCTTATTAAGATGATTTAAGATGATTTAAGGAATCTGCTTCCAAATAATGTCCAAGATGAAATTGTATATTTACATATATCTGATCCTCTGAAATCATGGTTCTCTGCATTTAATTTCCATCAAGTTGCAAATGTCACTTTCTTAAAACAAGAAAAGTCATTTTATCTTATCTTTCACATCAACATAAGATCTTATTTAATCACATCAGTTAAACTTTGCAACGTTAGATCTTATTAAATGAAACTCAGGTTTTTCCTTGTATGAATTGCTAAACAGACTGTATTCCTAGATGGGAATACAAATTAAATAATGATTTTCAAGAAAAGAGAACTCTGAATTACAGAAAGATACATACACTCATAGATGAACATGTATAAAGGCTAGATAACTCAGATGATGTTGTAATTATTTTGTGCAGGTGGTTGTAAGAATGTTAATGTCTTAAAAATTACTTCCTCACAATGTCAAGGTTTTGTAATTTCCATACCCCATACAAACACTTGACATTATGAGGATGTTATTATTAGTGCTGTATATAAATGATGTAAATGTTATATGATTTAGATGACTTTGAAGAATGCAAGTTGATGACATTTCTTTGACTGTGTGGTTGTGAATAATTTTTGTACTGTGATATAGGTGTATTTAACAAGAGAGATACTGATTAATGATATGTTATCCGTCCTAGCTAGTGTATAGATTTAGCTTATGAAATCTATGCACTTTTATTTGTATTCGTATATATGGTTAACTTTAAGAGTTGTGACTAGCTGATGTGAGATTTTATGAATCTTGTGAACATGGGATATACTGAAAGTTTTATACTTTGATACTTAGAAATTAAAGAGTATATTTAAAGTACTTTTCAGTTGTAGTAAATGAAACAATGTATGCAGTAGAGAGACTATTTGAGGAGTGCATACCACCAATGTTTTTGACCTTGTACTATATACGTTTATAAACTCAAGGTCAATCTTGAACATCAAAATAGAATCCAGGCCATAACTTGAGAACCCTTTGATATTATAAGATTTCAAACTTGGAACATAGTAAGAACTCAATGATACAAGGTGCACTGCATCAGAATTTTGACCTTGACCCCTTTCTTTATCAAGGTAAAATAGATAAAACATTACTAGACCATAACTTGAGAAGCCTTTGACAATTAAATTCAAACTTGGAACATGTAGAGGGGGTATATATGAAGGCTGAAAGCCAATTTTTTTTTCACTTTGACATACATGTATTTAGAGTTGAGGTTAATCTTTTATATTAAAACATAGTCCAGGTCAGCACGAGAGAATTTTTTGACATTAGGATTTCAAAGTTGGAACAAGAAAAGACAACATTAAGACTTAATGCACTGCATCAGAATGTTTGACCTTGACTCTTTCTTCATTCAAGGTCATATTAAGAAAAACAAGACCAGGCCATAACTGTAATAATTATTTTGAGTTTGAGATATTGAGGTTTGACTGTATATACATGTATTTTCATGGATGTATGTTTCTACTTAGGATTATGCAATTGAAAAATTCAAGAAAAAATTTATACTTGTATATATTCTGTAACTTCAATGAACATTCCTTTAAACTTGACCTCTTGCAGTCACATAGAAGATTCATGTTTTAACAAAACAATTTATTATACCAAAAAAATCTCAAAACATAATTGATAACAAATGCATAGAATACTAGACATATGTAATCTATACAATTACTAGTAATCTATATCATAAGCTTACTTTGAAAAACTTTAAAATTATAATATGCCTATTCTTATAACATACAGTGTAACAAATTAAAATACAATGTGGGTACATTTTATATTTTGTACAAGAAGACTTCATGGGATGAAAACAATGTTTTGTCAAACATTCACAGAAATTGTCTCTTTGACACTGGTGAACCCTTTATTGCGTGTATTCTGGACTAGACTTGGGACAGTTTTCAGACCTCGGCTGGTAACTCTTCGGTCTCTTTTGACACAGTGATTGATCTGTAAACATTTTCTTTCAAACTTTTTCCTTCTTTGATTTCTTCTTTTTCTTCTTCTCAGATTTCTAGAAAAAAAAAGCAAATTTACAAAAAAGAGACTTATAATAAAGTGTTCATAGTTTATGTACCAGGTGGTAAAATATCACTTTTTTCGAGACACCTTATTTTTGCGAGATGGCTATTTGGTAATCATCAGTGAAACAAATTTTTTTTTAACTATGATTTTTGTTTCATACAATCCTTATTAATATGAATATATGCAATAATGAAATTTTCACGAGTGGACAGACTTATGCTATAAAGTTCTCACAATTAAAAATAATTGATTTACAGTATGTAGGTTCGGGTGGTGGTGTTGGGGTACTCCATCTACACCTCAGATGCATACTTCTGATGTTATAAGCCTTTAGCTCAGGTGAGCTAATAACAATAACTTACAACCATAAAGTATAATCCAATACCTTGTGTGTTACAGGAAGTGAATCCTCCTCATTTATTTCTACATCCTCTCCATCTAACTCCCTATCTGCTGTCTTCTCTGTTATGTCCAGGCTCTCTCCTGCAGCCATTGGTTCATCTTCATCAGGGAATGATTTCCTGTGAGATTTCTTCTTGGTCGTTTTTGTCTTTTGTGTCACTTCTTCACTGAAATATAAATGGTGTTTTTAAATACAATGCTCCTGTTGTCCTGACATTGGCCAATGATTTACTAGTATATTGTCGGATACTCACTACATTCGATCCACCACAAAAATTTAAATGCACATGACAGTTTATGTTATGCATATTTTTTAATTTCATGTAGAAATTATTGATAATAGTATTTATTTGATCATGGAATATAGTAATAAATATTTTTTTAACCCAAACTTAAGTAAATATTACAATGAAAACAAAAAAACATGAATCCTTTGGGTGTGCATGATTGCTGGGGGAGGTCTTTGAATCTTTGTGAATGTCCAAGCATTTTTTTCTACAATATTTAAGCTACTTATACAATTAAACATACAAGTAAGTTTTGATACCTCCATAAAACTCCATGCATAGACAGAATTCTGTTGTTGACAAATATTCTTTCCACTTTGAAGTCCACCTCATTTCCCTCACTCAGTTGCTCAGCATTTGACTCGGATTTCTTGATTGATACATTGAAGATGCCATAGACTAAAAGACTGACATGGTTCTTGAATACTCTGTGTACAACACCCTTCAGTGAAGCCCCTACTTCTGGCCTACATACAAAGACATAAAACAATACAATGCATGATGGAGTCTTTCACTGTTTTATTATAGGTACAGGACAGGATCAAGCAGGGTGTAACTGCAGATCTGTAGCTCACTGGTCTGAAAAAATATTTGGATGGATAACCAGAGCTTTAGTGTCATTCATTGAACAAAAGTGTACATTTCTTGTACACAAAAATGTGCCATGTTCTCAATTTAACTCTCTGTTTGTTTATAATAAGGCACAATCTCAAAATTTTACTAACCGTGTGTTCCTATCATATTCTTTTACTACTTCCACAACAAAAAAGTTCCAAAAACCATTGTTTATAACTCTCTTGGACAAGAAATTGAGATGATTGAAAACTTAGCCTATTAATACAGCAATATTAGGTGGTAAGATAATTCGGTCCAGTGCGCCATGTGCATGACTTGTACATGCAGTTTTGTTTTGGAAGTAGCAGAAGAATAGGTTAAAAACACATTTTTAGTATCATTTTGAAATAAATAAAGAAAAGAAACTGTGAACCAGCACACTTTTATGTGCACATTAAATATACACTTTTTTCAATTGGTGGTACTGTAGCTCTCTGGTCGTTCAGGCCAAGATAAATAAATTATGTGTCTCCTATTCCATCCTGAGAAAAAATAAGGTAGGTAGGTAGGGAAACCATTTTATTTTATTATAACATTTTATTGGCAAGCACACTGTCATTTTTGTTACCATGGAAATCACTGTCAAAACATTTCTGCTGAATGTGTAGAGCATATGCTTTTTTTTCATACACGTAGAAGTGATTGAAATACTGGTAAGGATTTCTAATAACAAAACTGGAATTGTTTACTTCCAGAAAGATATTGGTGGATAAATATTTCAGGGTCGGCACATGTTTTTTGGGGTCATTCAGGGAACCGGAAACACACAATTTATTTATCTAGGCCTCATCCCAATTTTTTCACACCAGCTTGAGCTAACTGCAAAATATATTTATAACAAGTTTGATGAAATGTACGTACCTGAAAACAATAAAATCAGCAACAATATCAAAGTGGATGTAAGGATCCACAATAAGTCCCATAGCTTGTTGTATTTTAATGTTACTGTATGCAATTAAGGCACCACCAAACCTTGAAAACAATAGTATAATGTTTACATTAAGTCTTATTTGGGTTCAAATATGATTTAATTTGTTGTTGAAGTTACTGTTAGCATTTTTTAAATTTAATTAATTACATGTTTTTAAAATTGTGTCTGTATCGTACATGTTATAGAACCATATACTAAATGAACTTGTTCTTTGTTATTATATACAGTAGGTTCCTGCAGCCAATTTTTTTAAAGACTAAAACTTACTTATCTGACACTAAATTTCTTTCCGATTTCAAAGCCTCCTCGATTCCTTTTCTGGTATTTCCAAGAAACCGAGGATGGAAAATGATACGCTTGCACTCGTTTATTTTGACAAATTGGGAATATTCTTCTGATTCCATAATTTCTTCGGCCTCTTTAAATTTGATGACGTTGTAATTCATTTTGATGTGGAAATAGGTCAATTCAAGACTAAACAAAGTAAGAACTTGTGAATCACACCATCGAAATTTTCTTTACGTTTTTTAGCACAGAAAAGCGAAAAAAATTGAGATTCGTTGTGATGTACCATGTGTACTTGTGCAAACTCAAACAGGAAACATCCAACTGTCATTAAATAATGACAAGGAACGCTCAAAATATTTATTTCCGGTTATATAAAAACTAATTTCTTATTGCAAGATAATCTAGGAAACTTATATGAATTAGTATGATAAGGGACCTATTTACTAACAATATAATATATACTCCTTAATCAATAGTTTTTGGTTGTCGTCCGTCTGTCTGTCTGTTTGTCCGCAAAAACTTAAACATTGCCCACAACTTTTGAGTGGATGGGGCTATGGCTTTCATATTTTACAGGTGGATTCCTTGTGACAAGACCTTTCTTAGGGTCATACCAAATTTGACCTGACCTTCGAGTTTGACCTACTTTTTACAAAAAAAAACCGAACACTTTAACCTTGATCAAAACTTTTGAACAGTTGAAGCTAGGGTTTTCATACTTCACACGTGTATTCTTTGTGACAAATCCTTTCAGTGGGTATAAATATTTTTGACCTTTTGACCTTGATCTTAGAGACCCAATTTAAAAAAAAAACTTTAACCTTGGCTATAACGTTTGATCAGTTAGAGGTAGGGCTTTCATATTTCACAGGTGTATACCTTGTAACATGACCTTTCTTTAGGTACCAACACGTTGGACCTTTTGACCTTGACCTTTGGAGTTTTACATGCATTTGAGAAAATTCAACCCTTGCTATAAGCTGCCATACGAGGGCATCAGTGTTTCACAAACACATCTTGTTTATACAATCCAGACCGGAAGACTGTATGTAGGCCTATATGTTTCAGCAAAAGCTTAAACATCGCCCATAACTTTTGATTGGTTGGATAGGGCCGTAGGAAGCAATTTCAGGCTGGGAGGGTGGAGGGGGCAGTACCACACATTTTCAATTGGGGTACGGTCAACTAAAAAATACCTTGACAAACAAACAATAAATACATAAAAAGTAAACAAGCAAATCCAGAGAATTGTGGTCCCCCGCTTTCGGTGTCTTTGTGGGTGAGATGTCATTATTTATGGCGTATTGTGTCAAATATGGACGCCCTGTCTTATGTCATTCAAAAGTTATCACTCATATTGATTTTTATGTAAATTTGGTCAAACATGAAGGTCAAGGTCAAGGGTTCAGCAATCATAGCATGCTCGGAAATATCTTGTCACAGATAATACACATGTCAAATATGTATTTGTCAAGGTCACGGGTTAAAAAATCAGAGTGTATTAAGAAAAGTATTGTCACAGGAAATATACACGTGAAAGGTGAAAGTCCTAAATCTTCTCAATAAAAAGTTATGACCGAGGTTAAAGTTTTGTAAAGTAGTTCAAACTTCAAGGTTAAGGTCACAGGGTAAAAAAATCATCGTGTATTTAGAAAGGTCTTGTCACAGGTAATACACATGTTTAGTATGAAAGTCCTATCTCTTCACATTCAAAGTTTTGGCCTATTTCAAGTACAGTTTAACTTTTTGGAAAGAAGGTCAGAAAAGTCTTGTCACAGTCAATACACATATGTAATACGAAAGTCTTATCTCTTCTCATTCAAAAGATATTACCAAGGTTAAATTATTTGCGACAGACGGACAAAACTACAGACTGACAGACAAATGAGATTTAGTCATCAGGCGTTTTAATTGAAGGAGCACATGTTTTCTATAGTATACTATTTATCGGCAAAATAATGGGGGGGGGGGCAAACACCCCCAGGTTCCCCCTTTCCCCCGATTCCTACGGCCATGTTGGCAAGGAACTATGGTTCTAATATTTCACATGTGTATTTCTTGTAATAAGACCTTTCTTAGGGTAGCAACACTCACAACCTCTTGATTTTGACCTTGAAGTTTGACCTAATTATACAAGAATTTACCCAGCTCTAACCTTGGTCTTAACTTTTGAACAGTTTCTTAGTAAACATGGCAATACCGTTCATCGAAAGCAAAAACCAATGCACAGAATTATGTATCTTAGTGTAGTACGGGGGCATCAGTGTTTCACAAACACATCCTATATATTTCACAGGTTTATTCCTTGACATGGTCTTCCTTTGGATACCTTGGTGTTTGACCTACTTTCGAAACCTTGGCCATAACTTTTGAACAGCTGGTGCTAGAACCTTAATATTTTATTTGTATACATGTACTCAGTATTCCATATGACAAGGCCTTTTCATGGGGTACCAACAATTTCGACTCTTTGACCTTGAAGTTTGACCCAAAATTGAATTTGAACAAATTCAAAGAATTGTGGTCCCCCGCTTTCGATGTCTTTGTGGGTGAGATTTCATTTTTTCTGATATATTGTGTCAAATACGAATGCTCTTTCATATGTCATTCGGAAGTTATCACCAAAGTTGATTTTGCTAAAATTAGGTCAATTGTCAAGGTGTAGGTCAAGGGGTCAGAAATCGTGTTAGCTACCTTATATTATCTTTGTTCACATTTTACTGCAGTTCATACAGTTTTAATGCCCCCGTATAAATCGAAGACTTGGGGGTATATAGTTTTTGTCGAGTCCTTCCGTCTGTATGTCTGTCTATCTGTCTGTTTGTCCACAAAAACTTAAACCTTGCTAATAACTTGTAATTAAGTGGAGCTATCACTTTCATATTTCACATGTGTATTCCTTGTGATAAGATCTTTCTTTGGGTACCACCAAATTTGACCTTTTGACCTGGAGTTTGATACACTTTTACACAAAAATTCCATACTTTTAACCATAACTTTTGAACGGTAGATACTAGGACTTTCATACTTCACATGTTTTTTGTGACAACCCTTTCATTAGATACCAATATCTTTGACCTTCGACATTTATGTTCTTTTTAAACAATTAACCTTGGCCATAACTTTTGAAAAGTAGGGTTAGGACTTTCATACTTCACATATTTTATCCTTGTGAAAAGACCTTTCATTGGATACCAACATTTTTGACCTTTTGACCCTGGAGTTTGACCTACTTTTTAAAAACAAACCTTGACCGTAACTTTTAAGGGTTAAGTCTAGGGCTTTCATACTTCACATATTTAAGCTATGTGACAAGATCTTTCATTGGATACCAAGAACTTTGACACTTTGACTTTGACCTTGGAGTTTGACCTTCTTTTTAAAAACTTTGACCTTGGTCACAACTTTTAATCGGTTAGGGCTACATGGCTTTCATACTTCACATCTATAATCCTTGTGACAAGATCTTTCTTTATAAACGAACAACTTTGACCCTTTGACCTTGACCCTGGAGTTTGACCTACCTTTCAAAAACTTATCCTTGGCAATAACTTTTGAACAAGTGGTGTTAGGGCTTTCTTGTGAGAAGACCTTACTTGGGTACCAGCATATTTAGTTTGCATTTAAGAAAAGTTTAATCTTCGCTATGTTGCCATACGGGGGCATTAGTATTTCACAAACACATCTTGTTTTTATAATAGGTATATCGAATATATCCATATCTATTCAAGTGCCAACTGATTACTGAGTGAACAGCTTATAAAGGGGTCCTCAGATTTTGTTTCCCCCGCCGGTAAATAGATGTATAATATTTTCCCACTGTAGCTCTTTGGTCATCCATTTCATATCTTTTTCAGACCAGCAAGCTACACATCTGCTGCTTAAACAGACGTGATTCTTCCAAAACATAGTGAAATTCAGGGTAATGACGTTACATGTATATGTATAAAGTGAAATGATTGATTGGTTGTTATTTAACGTCCCTCTCGAAAATTTTTCACTCGTGTGGAGACGCCACCACTTTCCGGTGGAGAGCCATAAATTTTGTCCTATGCTCTGCACTTAGGGCCATTGAGCAGAGAGGGATCTTTTTCGTGCCAGCACCTACTGCAACACAGGACCTCGGTTTATACGGTCTCATCCGAAGGACAGTTCCCACGTCCCACAGTGGGATTCGAATCCGCGACGTAAGGATTCACTCCATGTACTAGTACTCCGCGACTGTAGAGAAAATGCTCTGTCCATTGCGCCACGCTTCGCTGCTCCTATGCATCTAGGAGGTATACCACGTGTTTGACAGGGATCTTGATTTTAAAGGCCTACTATACCCTGAAGAAATCCCCCTGTGTTATTTACTTTATATAAAGTAATTAATAACTGTAAATAAAGTAACTGATAAGTTAGGCAAATAAAAGTATTTTACAGGAATTTTTAATCTTCATTCAAAAATTTACCAGGATAGATTTTAATGTTTTGATAGCTTTGTAAATACTTGTACATCTAATAAGTAAGTGAAAGACCAGAAGAGGCCAACTTGAGAGGAGAAATGCTAAGATTTCAATGCACATACTGTGAAATATAAGGAAAAAACGTACAGTATTCAAGCTAAAAATCAATTAAACAATTAATAAAAATTTGGAACAGAACAAACATGGACCTCCAAAAAATCAGATCATGTGCCATGGAGGAGCGAGACTTCCCTGCCGACCGGTCAACCCCCCCCCCCCCTTCCGTGTGCTCGATCCTTGTCATGATCGGGAAATAACAGACAAATCCTTCGACAATTCGGTGTGTATATGATGGCGGAACAATAAGTATGAAAAAAGTCTGTCAGCATTTGACTTAATGATAAATTGTATTTGCTGACAAGGTCATTGGATCGACCATAGAACTTATAGATATTCTTGCTTCATCAGCTTGTTTGTCAATAACTTACCTCGTATTAGAAATGTTCATACGTAGAACATGGTCTTCCGTATCAAATCAATTGATGCAGGTGACAAAGGTTTATTGCTGCATAAATAAGAGAAGTTGATTGAAAAGTTAATGTTTTCACATTTATCATAAACCTTTGTTGCTAGATAACCATCTTTTTGAAGGTCACATACTTTATGGTATCTTTTATCTCATGCTGTTCACACGGAGAGTTTAATTCGCAGTAAATTAATGCGAAGTAAACTAATGCGAATCAAATTAATGCGAATTAAATTGCGTTCACACGACAGCTAATGCGAAATAAACTAATGCGAATTAAAACATTTTCTTCTACAGTCAGGCGTCAGTAAGTCTATTATGACGTCATTTGTAAATCACGTCATGTATGCAGAACCATCCTTTGATACATCATGTAGTGGCTACAGGTATTCATTGATTTTAGTGATTAACATACTTTCCCTCAATTTTGGAATCAAATATAGCACAAATACCTATATATAATCACCAACACGTGTCCTGTGACTTAATTCTGGCCTTGCGCATGCGTCAAAATTTAATTCGAATTAGCTTCGCTTAGCGTTCACACGAAGCTAATGCGAAGTAATTTAATGCGCAATAAATTAATTCGAATTAAACTAATTCGCATTAAATCCTCCGTGTGAACGCTAAGCGAAGCTAATTCGCAGTAACTTTATTTTTTTAACAACATTTTTTCTAAATTGTTGCATTAATACAAAAGGCACCCCTAATCGCGGGCCAAAAAGGGGTCTTAGCCTATCTTGTCCTTTGACTTTAATATGTTCTCAGTTCATGGTCAGATCTTGCGGCCAATTTACAGCTCAACGAACTTTTTAAAGCCACACGGTTTTTCACACAAAATAAAGTCACATTTTCTCGCAATAAAGCTTAAAATTATCGAGTTTCAGTACGAGACATAACCCTTTTAGTATTAAATTGTTCCATGTTAAAGGTACACATTCTCTAAAATCATTATCTTTTGTTTTAAAAGTTAATGGTCTAAAAGGAAATTTGTTTATAAATTGTATGATATTAAAGCATACGAATCTATCATAGGTTTTTACATATTAATTAATGGAACTTCCTTTGATACTATTTGGTTGAAAAGTTCAAATGTACTTCTTAAAGATAAGTATTTTTCGAGGTACTTTGCGCATTTTCCATACTTGTCTTGGTTTTGTCGAAATTCAGCGCCGAAAAATGACAAAACTGCATGAAGAAATCGTGTAAAAGGATAAGAAAATAAAGTATTGTTTATCTTTCAACAAAGTAAATTGTTAATATCGAAAAGAGAATTCTTTTTACATTTATGGTCTGAATCTTTGAAATGTTGCGTTGGAAGGTATCTTTCATGATGCTTTATTTCAAAAGTTAGCCTGAAAAATGCCATCTTTTTAACATGGAAAGCAGTCGAGCAGTCGCACAGATGAGAAATACATGTATCATCTTGCGCCTTAGTGTTATATTAATGTTCAGAAAATACAGACGTTACATGAACTGCACTCTTTCTGTATTAAGGCAAAGCAAAAGTATGCTTAAAAATGAACGGATACCAAGACAGTTGCATTTGACGAGAAATATGGAGGAAAAAAAACATTTGGAAAAACTAAGATATCAACCAAGAGCATTTAAAAATTCTACGAATTATTATATGTGAATTATGTTGAAAGTAATGGGATATGATCTAAATCAAGTTATAAATCATTTTTAAAATTCATTTTGTCGTCACATTGCACAATTTCTGCAATATAACAATGTGACCTTAATTTGTGCGAAAAACAAGTGAGTTTAAAAAGTATGTTGAGCTGTATATTGAAAAAGCAGCTGGCAATGACTTCAAAAAGCCTGGACTTTCATATATCGTGGAGAATAGTTTTATATAAAATTGAAAAGTCGTAAATCTTTATGCTGTTGATTTTGGTAAAATGTTGTGATTTCAAGTTTTCTGTAAACTCTTTGGAATATCCATATCTGATTTACACTATATCTCGAGTACATTGTTGCACAGTACCACTGAAGTTTCTTCTTCAATACTGTTCATATTTTAGCGAGGAGTATTAAGAAATAGGCTTGGCAGAATATTTACTGGAATCCGATATATTAGTAAGAATATATCCGATATGTTTGAAAGAATTTTTATGAAGTTTTGGAATCTAATACAATACTTTTAGTAGTTTCGGATTGCAACCAGGAAAATGTTATTTTTTTTCCTTCAACGAGGCGATTTATTAGTGATACGTATATCTTGTTTGCCAAATGCTGATCTTAAAGACCTGACAGAAATCCCTTTAAAATTTTTCTCCATCATAGAATTTTAAAGGTTTGAAAATACTTTCTATAACCTTATTTTCACCAGCGATCATGAGGGGAGAAATAATGACTTTAGAACGAGGGTTCTTAAAAAAGAAGTGTTTCCAGAAGAAAATTCAGACAGTAGGTTTCTTTCTAACTTTTTCTCTCAGATGATAAGCCACTCATAATTAATATCTTAGTTCCCTCACCTTACTGCTTTCTAGAAGTAGAAACAAGTTCAACTGAAATTAGCTCCGTGGTTTTGGAGAAGCTCAGATGAGTTGACAAGTCGACTAATAAAGGAGCAGAATAAGTGCCACTGGAATTCCTTGCGTCTGAATTCAAAAGGAGGGCACTGAGATCGGCCCTTTGGATGAGATCAAAACAGCTCCTTGTCACATTAGGCGTGGTCTAAAAAAGTCCACCACTGCTCTATAGCATACCTACTGGGTATATAGATCTAAATCTGCAGTCCTTCACCTGCAATTGGTGGTGTCCCTATACGAGTGAAAATTCTCACAGAGACATAAAACAAATTCGAATTCTCTTTACACTACGGATTTTTTGTGCTTATTTTGATCCAAAAGTTTTGGAAAGGACGTCAAAACTGTAACATGTACAAGACAAGCTGAAGAGCTTAGTCTTCCTCAAGCTTTTGGTTGACCACGTTCAAGTGCGCCAAAATACAATAATGCATAGTCAGAATTGATACTATTTCTTTTTTTTTCATTAGAAAAAAATCAGAGGCTATAATTTATTTTATAAAAATATATTTGCTTTATATGGATGAAAGTGATATGTTAAAGTTGGCTTCATATTTGGATCTAATGAAATTTAGTGGTGGTTTCGATTGCTTTGATGCCAGAATCTATAATTTTAAATACTGATAGAGATTTACAATTCTGCGCTTTAGCAAGAGATCTATATTTTGTTTTGAGCAATTTCTCAAAACGCACATTGGGATGACTTCATATCTAGTTTAAGAAAATACTTTTCTAACTACCTAATGATTAAGCGTAGTTTCATAGATAATTTATAGAGAATTTCGTTAAGGAGACATCATATGGAGAAGACATCTCGTTCTATGGACGTATCAGCGTATCTTCCATTTTGAATCTTTTTTAACCTAATTTTCAGATACACTTAAAACTATGCCATGTTTTTCTGTTCAATAAAAATTCAAAATATTATTAAATAGATTTACAATTTTTTAAACATATTTTAATTTTTTTCTTCAAATGTTACCGTTTATACACCTAGATACAAAAAATAATCTGAAAGTGAACACAGTCATACGAATATATACACTATTTTACTGCAACATGTACTTGAAATTGAGATAGGGTGTCATGAACTCGGACTCCGGTATACCAAGCTCACGATGATAATTAACAAAGCACGTCTTGTTCTTTTTGCACAGAGGGACGTCACATTTACGACATCTGTTCTGGGTGTAAATGTACCACCCTGACTTTGTCCTGGATTTCAATTTATGACAGTACACACACATTTTATTTTTCAATCCTGCATTTGGCACCAGTACGTGTTTGTCTTCTTCGGATATATCTCCATGCTGGGGTCCAAATCCCGCAATAGACTCCGAGTACGCATGTCCACTGGAGACTGGACCGGAAGTGAAACCCAAAGAATGTGCGCTGTTTCTTGGAGACAGATTATAATTGGACGGAACCCAATGGGATTTCCTACCTACAAGAATCAAAACTACGTCAACGCCAAAATACACAAAACGGGATTCTCTCTTGGAAATTCATTTTTTCATTTTCCTTTTAATGTTTTCGCAAAATTGCATTATTGGCATGACTTAACGCCATACTTGTCGTGTTTTGCAAACTGCTGAAAGAAAAAAGCATGTCCAATTATTTCAGTTTCATAATCCGATATGTTTTCTCGTACTCTTCTTAGAACTCTAATTATATCGTAACATTCAATCAATGGGTATTATTTCAGGTTTGTTTAATCATAATGGTTGTTTCCACTAGAAAGATCTTCCATTTAAAGACGTAAAACAAAACAACACAATAGTTTTTTGAACACACTTTCCTAAATTTATTGCTAAAAACAAATACAGATCCACAGAATCTTAAGTATCAACAAAACCCCTAAAACGATTACCATGTTAAATAAAGCTTTGGCAACACACTGTAAAATGCATCAAAATGGACACAGATCTTTTGATATTAGAGAAAAAAAAACTTCTAAGCAGTTGAACATGTAAAAGCTCAATACACAAAAGTGTAAAACAAAAATCGGAAAAATACCTCAAAATCTGTATAAGCTTTGTTTCACAAAAAAATCTACCACTTTATATATACATGAAAAAGTAATACTCTATGCATACAAATTACAAAATACAACGAAACCTATATGAGGACAAAAACAATACTCTAAAAATAATACTTGTCGAACAACCTGGCGTAGTTATATTTTACCACAACAAATTGTAAAAATATGGCAATGGTTTCGGTTAAAATCAATAATTGAATTAAATCAATGAAAATAATAAAAAATATTTGTATCATTATATATATGTCTCTCTTCGAGAAAAAATAATTATATATCTATAATAATAAAATAGTTTTGATATATTTTGAAAAAAAATATAAAAAGTATATTATCACTTTTTTTAGGATAATATCAATGACACTGAACAAACAGCAGGACTCACATGAGTTATAAGTATAGGGTCGTCCAAAAAACCTGACGACCAATGTTAAGTCTGACGCCATGAAAAAATGACAATAACGATTAAGTAAAATGTATGAATTAACAACCACTACGATATAAAGCATTAAAATGTGTGAGATGAAAACATAAAATCTTTGTAAGCACTTAAAATAGGTCCCGATACATAAGTATCGACTCTGTTTTCCTTTGGCGAATACAGCAGTATTGATAAAAAAAAATAAAACATGGCACAATAGCATTTCAAAGTCTGTCACAATATCCATCGGACGAAACTACCTTCTACACAGGAATATATACTATACAACACTAAGAGACGGTTTTTTTTAATGTTTCAAATATGTTCAAGCAAAAGGGATATACTCTTGCTCAGGAATGCCCAAATCTCGATGGTAGAACATGAAACAATTCTTATTTCTTTTGCACAGTGGTATTTCACACTTACGACATTGGTAGGTGGTGTAGCAATACCAACCCGATTTGGTTTTGTGTTTTACTTTCTGACAATAACTGCAGGTTTTGTACTTTCCTTCAGGTATTGGAACCAGCGCGTGCATGTGTTCTCCGAATCGATCCAATCCCGTCCGCAACTGTCCCATCGAGTTCTTGCATTCCGTTTTTACCAAATTCAGTGCCAATGGATCCGCAGTGGAAACCTCAGCCTCGTTTTGAGGGGAATGCGAGAAATCTACATCAGGGACTGCAGTGCCGGCCCCCACGTTGAACAATGGCCAATCCGTTGCCTTCATTTGAGAGATTAAAGCACGGCCGTCTGGTCCGGTGACGTTTATTGGCAAAGTAGCCAAAGACAACATGGACTGGTGAACTGACTGCATGGAAGAGAGGTACTTTTCCATGGCAGCGTAATTATCCATGTTGATCATTTTCTGCATTGACTTCCGTTTTTCTGCCTTTTCTTTGGAACGTTTCGATAATTTAGGATCAATCTTGGGGACGACAGCGCCCTCCTCCGAGCTTCCTTTGGTCTCTTCGGTCCCTTCTGCATTGGCCCCTTCTTCTTTAATGGAAATCTTGTTTGCTGTAATCAAAATGAGGATCTTATTTACAACAGATATAAAAAATCATCAAAAGATCTGCGTTCATCTCTAATTATTAACACATATCTGTAACAGCAAAGCTACAAAAATCGAAAGTAAGGAAAAAATAAAGTAAAACAGCGAGAAGGGTATAAAAAATTTATTTTTAAAAATTACAGAAATATATCATAAATCCGTCACCTTAAAACATGCCAACCCATGCAATGTTAAAAAATAATAAAAACCTCAAGACATAAAAATTGTACAATGTATAAGATCTCAACTTTTTAAAATCTTTCCACATTAACAAAATACAGGCTCAATAAATGGCAATCACAAGAAATCGTCAGTCTTATTTCGTAAAGGGAATAACATCGTACTTAGCCAATAATCGCGGATCATAATCGGTTAAGATATTTGATATTCCTTGCTCGCGATGAAAGATTTCAAAGCATCTCCTTGTCCCCCTAGCGCCGGTGCAGAGAGGAATATTACACTGTTCGCATTTGAAATGGGTGTACACACGCCATCCTTTCTTGGTTTTTGTCTTGTCCCTGTGACACTGAAAACAAACTTTGTATTTATAGTCTTCGTTTCGAACTAGTCTATGTTGAACACTGTGTAGATTTACGGCACTAGACGCCAGTCGTTGAATATTATACAGATCGTAACTGTTCGAGCGTTCGAATGGCAAGCGTTCATTGCAAGTCCGAAAACCATCTAGTGAGGCCTTCTCTCGCACAAATCCTGAAAGAAGTAATCAAAGTACTGTAAACCACCAAAGCTAGATACACCGCATTTCTTAAGTGAACCAAGGGGAAACACAAATGATTACATGATTTAAGTCAACAATGACCGTGCTTATTTTCCAAACATGTCTGTATATAGTCAGGTGTAATACTAGTATTGTCATGCACACAGCTGTTGTTTAATGAACTTAGACAATTAATTACAAGATCAGTATTTAATGATTTATTTTATATTTACAAACAATGGCAAAGCAAAAACAAACTATACATAGTTAAGACTAAAGTTACAAAGTAGGAGGAAGCAATGAACTTCGATGCGGATTTTCCCAGAAAAGATTCGGATTTTGAGTGGTACGCAACATTTCATGAAACTGCTGAAAGCACATTCGATCACCAATACAAAGACTGATGTCACAACATTCGCATTTATATGAAGATCGACAAATCCTTTTCGTTCTGTTGTCAAACCCAGAAACGTTGCTTTGAATGCGCCGTCCAAACTGTTTGCACACAAAACATGTCCTCTGCATGTGAGTCGACACAGCACGATGCGGAAGTCCGACATTTTTAATCACAAACGAGGCTGCTATGTTCCGAAGAGTCACTAAAAGTGGAAGGTCGTTATCGATGCTCGTAGGGCCTGTCCATCTATCGTCCATCATGTCCACGCCTGTAATACAGTAAAAATTGCTTATCGCGGCGTCCATTCTTTAGATATAATATTGAAACAGGTGACGAGATTTATCACCGAAAGCAAGCTTACTGCTTCATACCCCAATAGAGCGTGCCGTTCCAAGATTTACATTTGCTGCTCTATAGTTACAAAATGACCTAATCTAAAAATCTAATGTATATAGGACCTTTTTAACTCAATGTAAGTAAGAATTCATCACATTTATAACAAACAAAAATAAATTAATAAATAAAAGATTAAAAGATTATTTATTGTCACAAATAAACAGCCCAAGACATAAATTTTAAACGAGTAATAAGGAAATAATATTTATTATTGGGATAAAATACGTGGAATTAATAGAACATCAATGTATATCACAAATACATGCACCACCTTTGGTCAAATAAAAATCTGTACATGCAGTATGTCAGAAGTTCACATCATCAAATCACTGATGTCTATATTCATGTGTTTGTGATATCGTTCGAAACAATTTCGGACTTGCGGTCTACACAGACAAGCATCGCAGGCTTCACATCTGTAGTACGACTTAGTAGGCAGACCAGTGGCGGTCTTCACACCGTCCCATTTACAAACCACACAGGCTTTATTCGTTGACCCTTGGACTTGGACCATCATGTGTCGGGATTCGTAACTTGCTGGCAGCGCGGACGTGTCGGAGGTATGTCGGGATTTCGAAGGTTCCTCTTTTTTCCATAATCGCATTGGCCAATATTTTCCGGATCTCACATCCGATCCTGTAACGTTAAATGTCTCTTCGTATCTCACACGCTCTGGAAAAAATATACATGTCCGTGCTTTAGTAAAATCCTAATAGGTGGAGAGGACAGAAAGCAGTATAGAGAGAAAATCAATACAGAAGATGCATCTCTTGAAAATAACTCGTCAAAAAGTATAAAAACACGGACAAAATCAATTAAAGGTTTTGAAAATTTAATGACAAGAGAAAATACAGCGAACAACATTCTTTTAACAAAACACGTCCATCTTAATCTTTCACCATATGTTTAAAATAATTTTCACTTTAGAAAATTCATTTATAAACAAATTTGGTTTCACAGAAGTTACGATTCCTTGTCCTACTTGGGTACTCGCGATTGCGCACAGCGATGCGTTTTTAAGTCCTTTTTGTGTTTATATCCTTTGCCACACTCCACACATTCGAAAGGTCTGTCATCTGAATGTACTCTTTGGTGAATAGAAAGCATGTTCTGAGTCGGAAATATCTTTTCACAAACATTACACGAAAAGCACCGATCTGGCGAGCCATGTTTCTGTTTCATATGGTTATCATAGCCAAGTTTGGATGTGAAGCCCTTGTGACAGATATTACAAGAGAAGAGAATAGCCCGCCTTGTTGGTATGGAGTACAAGGGATCGGTGTACGGATAATAAATAGAAGTCTTTTCAGCTTGCAGATGTTTAGGCGCTCCTCCCCACTGGGTTTCGCTCCTAACATCTGACTTATCGCGTGGAAATGTCTGCAATCTCGGAAGATTCCCTACAAGGATAGGAAAACTGGTCAAAAACCTGCCATCATCATATATCGCTTTTCTACAGGCTAAGTTCAGGAGCACTGGAGGGACTGGCTTGTAATACATGTAAAACGAATTCTTATCAACACGTCATTTTTAATGTAGTGTTAAAAAGAATAATTGAAAAACAAGATATAATTTTATTTACATCAACAACGGTAACAATAGGCTATATACGTCACATACGTTTACATTCATATTATGAAAACTGTTCACAATTTTAAAGTTTTAAAGGTTTTGTCTACTCTTTCATATTCATAATTCGGTAACAACGATGACTTTTCACATGGTAGTCGTGCTTAAATCGCTTTCCACAATATTTACACTGATATTCTCTAAGGTCTGAATGCATTTTGAGGTGTCGGTTCAAATGATACGGCGACTTGAACATTTTGAAGCAAATTTCACAGGTATGTCTCTCAATGTAGGCGTGAATATTTTTCAAATGATTGCGCAGGTCCATTTTGAAATCAAAACTAGCTTTGCATATGTGGCATTCAAATCCTCCCTTGTTGGATGAAAGACAAGCTTCATGTTGTTTGACCGAAGTCTGGTAATGTTCATCACTTTTTTGTGCACTCTTTACTTCAGAATGAACGTTTTCCTCAATTTTACCATGGAAAAATATCTCTGCAAATTAACCACAAGGAACACTGTATTTCAACCTCAGAGAAAATGTCATCAAAACTTAATTATACAAAGGACAGCTGTATATTCAGAAAACCTTGCATGCAAGCCTTTTATACATCAAAATACATTCCTTTTCAAAGTCTCTTATTTTAGTTTACTAAATAGCCAATCAAGATACACTGACATGGGGATCTCCAATTGACCCCTTTTTAAAATTATTAAGCAAAATACCCAACCCTTGGTTTAGGAGACGCGCACAAACAAAATAACCCAGATAAAATCATTTTTAAAAAAGCTTCTTGTCTACAGAACTTACATTCTACTTATTTGATATTGTGGTGTGTGGTGGTGGTGGTGGTGGGGGGGGGGGGGAGTGGCTGAGGGCACTAAAAATCTGAATATGCATTTTTACCTCATAATATTTCTACACTGAAAGAATCTATGAAACATACAAATAATTCAAAACTCTATCTCTCTAAACTCTAAAGACTTTGGCTTGAAAATTTTATTCTTTTGAACTCTTAAAAACATACTATGATATTTTCATCAATGTAACACATAACTAACTTCCAAATAAAGACCATATTTCAGTGTCTGGTCTGTGTCATGAAGTTGTTAAATCTCAGATTATATGTATGTAAAGTACATGTGTACATTTTCATTATCCTGCACAAGGTGATTATATATAGCTATAAGCTGATTGACCCCTTTTTTGTTATGAATGTTCGGTTAATGATAGTCAGAAAATTCACATAGATCACAAAATTTATATCATTGCGGAGTAGGTCCGACAGCAGGCAGTATTTTAGAAATGACAGATGTGGACATTGGCTAAGAAAAACCAGGCAGCCCATGCACGATGTATGACAGAGGCATATGCATTTGTCTTAAACTATGAAATATGACTACATGTACCTACCGGGGTAAGCATACTTCCATACTTAGAAACACAATTTGTGTCAAGGCTAACTACATGTTAGATAGGAACCACTTTTCCCAACTGACTCTGAAGTTTGATGCTCACATTGAAAATATATATTGAAGCTGCTGATTCTACAATGCTTTTAAATGCAATTTGTAAATTGTCATCTTTCATCTACTGACCCAGTGGTTATTGAAAAGAAGCTGAAAATGTGAAAAGTTAAGAGACGGACAGACGGACAAACAGACAGACTGCAGACAATGGGTGATCAGAAAAGTTCACTTGATTTTTCAGCTCAGGTGAGCTAAAAAAAAAAAAGATACACTTAAGTATTAATTACCTAAAAAAATTACTAATACAAATTACAATGAAAAAAAAAATCAGCTGCTATATAACAATCACCTGTGCAAACATACATGTTCCATAGCATATTTCCATGTATTCTCAGAAAACAATGTTAGGTCACAAACTGGGAATATTACCTTTTCAATTCCTTCAGGGTCATCTTCTAGTCTTTCACAAACAACACGATTGAAAAAGGAGCAGAATTATTTTCCATTCTTTTTAGGGTGTGTCTTTTACTTTTGTTTATCATCAAATTGTTTAAGACATTCAACTCACACTCATTCTTAAAGCCTTTCATTTAGATCAGATTTTTAAACACATGTATAGTTTCATTAACACATTTTTTTTGTCATGGTCAATACAAAATAAATTTTACTTATTTAATCATATTTATATACATCATTAAATTTATGTTACTTATAATTTATTTTCATTTGTGGCATTGAATGAATAAAGACTATATGTATTATAATATATGTTTTATTTTTCCTCCATAAACTGTCATATAGTCATACATGAGTTTTTCAACACAATACCAGACTGATAGATTGCTGGTACAATACAGTAACTTTTACAAATACTCACTACTGAATAAACCATCAGTTACAATAAATAGAAATTAGAATGTGCTGTAAGTCACAGCTAAAACCGAAATTTAACAAACTCATCGCCGTTTGTCATGTAGGAGGAGACATGAGAAATTGCGTAAAAGCAAGAGTCTAACCACAACGGAAAATATATTTCTTCGTAATGTTTTAATCCACAAACCCACATTTTTTACTTAATACATTTGAGAATTTGCTTTATTTTTAGCTTTACAATCATTTTTTTACCATAAAAAAAAGATAAACAAGAAACATAGCCAAGTCCCAGGACTTTGGTGAATTCAAAGGTTAACCCCTCTCTTGAGGAATTTTGAACCCCTGATTAAATTTAATATTATTCTATTAAAAATAATTTATAACTATAAACTGTGTACAAGATGTCCTGTCTTTATTAATTTACATGTTCTCAACTTGACATACATTAGTTCTCAGGAAATCCAAAACATACAAAGAAGAAGTACTTGCTACTCCATGGTAAATCATGGTAACAAAGGTTAGACATCCCTCTCCTTTTTTCCATGTATAAAATGAAACACTTTTAGGCTGTACTTTCCAATTATTTTTTTTGATGTAACATAAAATTGATAAATTAAGAAAACTGCTTGTAAATAATTACTAAAAATACACTTTTTGCTTAATTTGCTTCTTGTCTTGTACACAGCTTTCTGACAATGCTTTAGCAAACAAATGTGAACACATTTAACACATTGTTTGATCTACTTAGCATATAATGATGTGTTTTATGTAACAAATATTGAAACACTCTATCCAGTTACCAAGAAGTGTGACTTATATCATGAAGTTGACAACTATTATCACATTATTATCACAAGCCATAGGATTAATGTGCACCCATTCCTGTAGACTCCATTATTGTATCAAGTGAAATAAATAAAACAGGTGAAGTTACCAAACAAATTTATATATAGAGTATAAGACACAGCCCCCCTGGGTCCCCCCTGAATTGCAGGGGTGGGATCAGGTGTCTAGGAGGAGTTAGCGTCCCCTCTTGACTGATCACACCCACCATGAGGTCTCTGTATTGAACTTGTTGACTGAATTAGTTCACTTGTATATGGTAATCAGTGTTTTCCCTACCGTAATATTTAAATAAAAATTTGTTGTAAGGTCCACAGAGATTTTGATTATAAAAATCAGTCCCTAGCCTGTTCAGCTGATCTCTAACCTTTTACTTTGAAATAAAGGGAAAATACTGGGTAATATTTACACAATGGTGCATTAATTTTTAACCCATGAAATCATGAGGGTTTTCTTGTTGTTGTTTTTGTTAATTTGTAATAGTAGAGCCCATCCTTTATCAAAATAAACTGACTTTACTTTAAAGTACATGCAGTTAAATGCCCATATAAATTAATCAATGATCACTGACAATAAAATCAATGTGTAGTGGGAAAGAAGTAGCCATGTAAATCTATAAATATACAAAAATTTCTACTCAGAAAGTGTTTTTATTTCAGTAGAGAAATTTATAGCAAGAGTTATTTGTTTGGATTTCTTTTTAAAATAGCTTAGATTAACAATCTAGATCTTTAAGTATTCGAGGAGAATGGTCTAATTCTACTTACATGACTAAATGCCATGTTCAATAGATTGGAAGCACTTCAATACCTAAAGCTTGCAACAATATTTTGTCACTTTCATTTTAAGCAAAAAATATCCAAAAAGAGATACATAAAAAGATGTCACACTTTTTAGGTACACTTCTACAAGTTTAACATACAATCATTCATGTCTAATTTTATGCTAATTCTATGCAGTGATGCAGATATCAAGGATTTAATTATCTGTTGAAATTCAGTCTTTTTCTAATAAAACTGTATGATATCTAAATATACAATTATATTATTTACTAAGTTTTAAAACTAGAAATGTATTGTGTTAAGATATGTATATTAAAATTTTAATACATCAAATTATTCCTACACATATATTGTCTTCTTTTGTAGAATTGACCCCCCCCCCCTACCAAATCTTTACTTAGTTTCCTCAGCAAGTGTATTTTTTCTCTGACAGGCATCAATATTGCAATCTAATTTGTTTGAAACTGACATTCCAAAGCCACATGGGACTGTTTGAAACTGTTGAAAAGTAACCAAAGTAACAAGATCAAGAGTAAATTCGATGATTTATCAGGAAACATCATGCTTTTTATGTTGAATGCAATTATATGAAAAAATAATACCTAAAGCAATCCAACCCCTTGAAAAATTCAGTAAATAGGTTTTTACAATGCCTGTAGATCTGTAGATCTCTGTCTGTCCAGATTTTCCCATGAAGGAAAAAGTTTAGCTAAAATTTTCATGAGTAGCCATCAGAAAAACGGGATCTTTTCAAAAACAGCTTATTTAACATAGACTCAAGGAGAAATTTTGCTTGCCCAAATGTTGCCAAATATCTATGCATCAGACCCTTGTTGAAATTCCTTGATATCTGCTTTGTTGGAGATTTGATGTTCAGAAATGTATGTTTTCGCCCAATTTTTTCTCAGTAAGTTTTTTAAGCAATTTATTTTAAAATTCCAAGTACCTGAGAATTTCATTAAAAAATCATAATCATTTAAAACTTTTGCCAAAACATAAAGTCAAAATCACATATTGACAAAAAAAAAAAAATCACACATTTCTTGAACAACAAATTCCCATTATACAATAGAAAGAAGAGGTACCCACCTTTATACTGCGCCTGTCCCCCTGGGGGATATACCCAGGAATTAGACTGATCCCCGCTGACATTGCTGTCCTCGTTAGACATCCACTCCCCCTGTGGGTCCCCCTCCTCTAAGTCAACATGCTCCGCCCTCTGAACTCGAATAGACTCCGATCCTCCCCCTGCCACATTGATGTACATCTCCATGGCAGCTGCCTCTTCATCATCAGATTCTATTTTAACTATGGTGAGATCTGCACTTGTTTTGTCAGGGGATGGAGGCTTTGAGGGTTTCTGCTGGGTTACTTCTGGTGTTTCTCTAGCATTAATGCTACTGGAATAAAAAAGAGGAAAAGACTCGTTGATACAGAATTTCGACAGTCTAACCATAAATTATAATTATTACCTAATTCTCTCTCCAGCTGTTTTGGGTAAACGTTATACAAGAGGCCCACGGGCCTTATAGGTCACCTGAGTATCTTGTAAATAAGAATAAATGCATTTTCACCATATAATCAATGGTGGGGGCCATTTCACAATTTTAGAAGCATTAATGCTACTGGAATAAAAGAAGCAGAAGAAGATTTTCAAAAAATAATGATTTTCACTATATAATCCATAGTAATACCAGATACAGAATTTTTTGAAAGAGGCGACAGTGCTTAGTTAGTTTATTTGATACCCTGAAGCAGAGAAGAAGATTTTCAAAGAATAAATGCATTTTCACTATATAATCAATAGAGCCCCGCCCTAACACCAGAACCCCTGACCCTGGGGCCATAAAATACAATTTTGAAAGAGGCACTCTTGCTCAACATAAGTATGTACTACTTATTTATTACCTAATTCTCTCTCCAGCTGTTTTGGGTAAACGTTATATAACCAAAAGCTACCCAACTGGTGAATGTAAACAGATAAAATACAATTTTTTTAAAAAAAAGAAGACAGAACTAACCCAGTATCTGATATGGACTCTGCATCATTTGTGTTAGTGGACAGTTCTGTGTTCTGTTGTGGTGGCTGCAAACTCTGGCTCTCACTGCCTGCTGCAAAAGGCTTGTGTGCTGATGGCTCTGGTCTGACTTGTGGAGAACTACGATTGCTGAAGTGTGGGGATGATGGAGACATGCCGGGTGAACTACTGACTTGTAACTTGTCATTCACGACTGGTGTGGTAGTATGGCTGGATGGTTTGGGTGCTGGCTGAGAATTTGTAGACTTTCCGTTTTCGGTGGTGGTGTGGGTTTGATTAGCGGGTGCTACTCGGCTTTGTAATGGCATACTGTTTCGAGATCTTGGTTCCGGTCTGGCCTGTTCTGAGGCCACATCAACAATTTGTAGGTTTGTACTGTTACTTATTTTGCTGGCCACGGCAATGGAGACACTTTTCTGAGACAGACGCTGGTCTTTGTTTGACCGATCACCACTAGAATCGGGAGGGTCAGTCTGAATCAACTCCAGACTATCCTCTACAATGTCAATCACTCCTGGCTGCTGGGATCCCTGTCCTCCTCTGGCATGGTAGGGCATTCCTAACTTTGGGACTCGATCCCAGGGATCTGGAGCCACGTGACTGTAGCTGCTGGCCATTGATGCAGCATCGTCAGCATGCATGTCCTGTGTCCTCTGTCGCTTACCTCCAGGACTGGGAGGCTGAGGGAAATCTGAAGTCCTCTTGGTGGTTCTCTCCTGCACTGTCTTCTGCATCTCTGATGACCTCACATGCTTAAACTCCACCATGTCATGAAAAGTGTACTTATACTGATCATTAGCAGACATATGTCCTGTTTTGGAGCTCAAACATTTGTTAAAGTCTGCACAACACTTGATAACGTTATCCACTTGTAACAAGCGTGCAATCTTTTCTACGTCGCGGCAGTTCTGTTCCGTTAACATCATGAACCCCTCGTAGAGATACTGTAGAAATGTCTGGACGGACTCCTGTTTGATGTCCGCGGCCAGGCGGACCTCCAGGTGAGATCCCACTGCGGCGTTCTCCATGGACTGTAACATGGGGCAGGCAGCCACTAGTACCACACGATGAGCCTGAAAATTATCACAACAAAGTTCTGTCAAAACATTCAGATATCACTAATATTTAAATGCCACTAGTACCACACGATGAAAATGATAGTTCCACTACATTTGAAAATTTTATCATGGGCTTTTACTCATGAAAATCCTGTTGAGTTTTAAGAAAACAAGAAAATTATCACAACAAAGTTCTGTCAAAACATTCAGATATCACTGATATTTAAATACAAATCCATAATAGATAATACAATTTTTTTATTTTGCTTCATAGCCCCTCATAAACTTTTATTATATTTTGATGAAAATGATAGTTCCACTACATTTGATGAATAGTTTTTTCATGGGCTTTTACCATCATGATAGATGAATCCTGTTGTGTTTCAAGAAAATAATTTAACTAATGCCTCTTCGTGGGAATCAAATTGTGAAGAACAGCTAGCTTATCTTAAAATATCAGCTTTTTGGCTTGACAAACTTCTGTCAACAAGGATAGATGAATACTTTGATTAAGTCACGTGGCAGTTTCACTCGATCAGAGATTGCCATAATGGTTTTCTCCTTTTATCTACTTATCAGATATTTTGATATAAAATTAGTTCCGTGACTTCAAGTACAATCTTATCTACCATGATAAGTGAAGAGTGTACAATGCATAAGGCAAGAGTCTTTGGAATTAGCAATGTATTTCATTAAAATAAAATTGGCCCATTTTAATTTTGGTGTATGTATACGGTAGTTTGTACCATTCAGAGGGCAGAGCATGGTTTCTCTGTCATTCCAACTTTTTCTTGGTGTCTGTTTTTCTTTCAGTTTTTAACACTGTGTTATGAAAAATATAATTTTACTCCCCATTTTTTTTTCCTTTTCCAAAAAAAATTTGACACAATTACTCTTAATCAGACCTTAATGTCCATTAAAAGAATTAGTACCGGTAATAAAAAAACAAAATTCACTACTTAAATCTTTGTTATTTGTCTTTTAATTACCTTCACTGAAATTTACCTTTATTGTATGCAGTGTACAGTGTAATTAATGAGCAATTTACATGTTGAGTCATAACTAGGTACATATGGAGAGACAAGGTGTATTATGTGGATAACATGCAGAATATCAGGAAATTAATCAAAACCTCAACTTGTCACAGTCCTTTTCGTTTTCTGCACAACGTATTGATTTATTCTATCCTAACATACATGTATACGCTGCACGCTTAATTAGCATGATCACATTGTCATGTATGTTGATGCAACTCTGAATAAATTGACATTTTGCCTCGGAGGGAGGAAAAAACCAATAAAGTAGTTAACAACATGTAGACATGTACCAACACAAAATAAATCAGCTGTGTCTAGGTGCACTACATGGATCCAAGTCTACAGATGAATAATTAACATTTACCGAACTACATGTAAATTTAGTCATTAATGTTCCAACATAAAACTGATTTCTTTACACCGAGTGACACGGACGTCTTTTGTGGGAGTGATGATATATGCTACAAAATTTAGAATGATTTCTTTGTCAATGAATTTACATGTCAACTAGGTTTAGAGTAAAGGTGAAAAAATAATTACAAAATCTACCTATTTTTCAAAACTATGTTCCTTGTATTATTTGTGTTGAGTCAGGTGTTTGTCAAATTTTTGTGAACAAGCCTCTACAGTTTACAAAAAGCTTATGTTTTATTGTGCAATTCTAATGAAATGAATCACTATCTTTATAAACACAACTGATTGGTTTTTGGTTTTTTTCCGGGAGGGGGGGGGGGGAATAACAAATTATTTCTTTACCAATAAGAACAGGAATATGGCAAGTTTGTTTTAATTTTGGCATAAAAAAGCAAGGCTGTGATTAGAAAATGAAAATCAATTTTAACTTTAAAAATAAACTGAAAATCTTTTTTGTATTTTTATTCATAAAGTTAAAAAAATTGCCAGCTTTTTGAGATAGGTTTAATCAAATTAATGTATGTGGCACAGCCTCAAATCCCCTTCACTCTTCCCATATGAAATCACACTATAATTCTTATTAGTCACCCGTCCCCTACCAGTGAAACCAAAGGGGATTATAGGTTTCCTCTGAGTCTGTCCTTCCGTCCGCCTAGCTGTCCGTCCCTCTGTTTGTCAGTCTGCCCCGCTTGGTTTTCCGCACTTTTTTTTCTAAACGCTTGCAGCCATTTTAAATTTTTTTTTTTTTTTTTTTTTTGAGATTTTCCCTATATACTCATATGTAAAACTTTGATCGGCCATATTAAGCTGATTTTTGGTATGTAAGTGTATCTTGAGTTTTAAAGATTAAGTTTGAATTTTGTTCCGCTTCACTGATTGTTGATAGAATTATGACGTTTCTAATTTTTTATAATTGGGATTATGATCGGGTTGGTGATGCACTAAATTAATATTCTAAAACAAGCTTGTATCCTAAAGAGAAAAGGAAAAACTGGTAGAGGACATGTATTGCTTTTGCAATACTCTCAGAATGCTTGTTACATTTTTTGTTCTTTTTTTTCAAATAATTTTACTTTTTGTTTTTCTGCTTTCATTTCTTAGACATTATTTTCTAAATGGTCTGCTAAAAATACAGTTGTTTAATACATAATGTGTTAAAGCAGAAATTTGTAGCAAAAGTCAAATAATTCTGCTGAAAAGTGTTGAAGCTTGACTTGTGGACACATCCTTGCTAAATAAACACATGTATATAATTTTTTTCATGACAAGACAATATTATTTTGAAAATAACCACTACCTTTGTGACAACAGCTCCAGACCGGATAATGGCATCACATAGCACCTGGCTCTTCCACATGGTGGCTAGCTGACATAGCAGTGAACTGGAGTGAATCTGGTTTGTGTAAAACTTCTGGTAACAATTCATGGTGACTGCAACGAAAAAAAAAGATCTCCCTCAAACCTTTTTTAATGTTTACATTTCATAAATTTTAAAAGTAATAAAATATTTCTTTCAAATAATTCCTGGTTATAAAGTAATTCATGCTTTTTCATTTTTTAAAAGTATTGTGAACTTAACCATGTTAACAAAAAAATACATAACATTTATCAGTCTTCGCGAAAAAGAAAAATTGCCACAGGACATTTGGACAGACAGTTAACACAATTTCACAGGACCAAACAAATTTTCACCGGTCCAAAATTGTTATCATATAATGATCATAATGATGTTACTTCATAGCATATGAAACAATAAACAGATATTACATTAAAAGATTAACTGATATGTTTCCTTTTCTTCCCTGGCAGGGTCCCATCGAAAATATTTTAAAGACATCGTGGCGGAAGTAGGTTTTACTACAATCACAATCAACAATACGTTTTTAATAATGTGTTTTGGTATTAGTTAAAGCGTCTATATGATGAAATATAAAATTTAAAACCCAACCAAAACAAACCTCAGAAATGCAAATGTGACCGCACTTATTAAAACGTCATTTGTTCATTTGTTATTACTCTTGAGTTGGGCTAGTAAAATTTCGTTTGGGCTACCAAATTTTATATTTTCACTTGCCCTACGGTGCTTTTGCGCGATAGACTGATTTATATAACTAAGCAAAATTGTTCACTCTGGCACTTTACTTTAAGCTTTTTAGCAGTAAACACAAACATGTTTTGTATTTTCTTTCAAAAAATAAATTAACACTTAATAAAATTGGGTATCAATTCTTTTAAATTTCTAGAAAAATACATGTCATTGTCATTATGTCCTAAATCTCCAAAAATATCTATGCCAACTAACAGTAGAAAAAAATTCATTCATTTAGCTATTCTTTTACTACATAATAGCATACGATACATCATAATTTTGCCTGTACTGACTCTTCATCATTGCTTAATGCTAAGTCATGCACTCTAAAATCTTTTTATCTTTATCAGTGTGATTTTATTCATTTTTTGAAAGATGTCATTTTTAATTCTAATACCCAAACTGAAGAGTTTTCCTCCTTCTAAATATTATATTCCACAAGAGATTCAAGAAAAGAGTTTTATCCACTACAAATTACACGAAGTGATCTGATGTTCAAGATCAAACATCCTTATGTCATTCATGATTGACTGATGAAGTCTGCAGTTGCAGAAAGTAATCAGATCTGAATGGACAAAAACAATTATTATAACTATAACGAGCCTATGCAAAGAGGATTCGATGGGCCATTTGTTTTGTATAGGCCACTTTAGCAGTTAAATATAATTTTTTTTCTGGACGTTTTAATTTTTCATCAGCAAATTGCAGATGGCAATCTGAAATCCTGTCCTAGCAGGGGTCTAGAATTTTTTTATAACTCACTTGCCCAAGGGCAAGTGATACAATAAATTTCACTTGGCCGCCTAAAAAATTCACTTGCAAAAAAAAAAAAACATGAAACAATCAAGTTTTAAGATTTTATTGACATTATGTTTATAAATCCATTTACAGGCTAACAATTTTCCCATGGTTCAAATATGTTTTGACCTCAAGAAAATTTTCTTACATCTTGATTTTAAAAAATTTATATATTGCTATTTATATCTTTTCTGATATAAAGCATACAGATCATAAGGTTGACATGTATTCAGATACAAGAGGCCCAGGGGCCACAGCTATATTGCATTGGCGTTCATTTTTGAACAAACTAGAATTTACACTACCTGAGGATGATTCCATATATATATATATATCACTAATAATAGCTTTGAAGTACTTGAAAAGAAGATTTTAAAATTACCTATATATTCCCTATTTTCAACTTGGGTTTTTGGCCCCAAATATGCCACGGGGGTTTTGATTATATTGAATTTTTTATCTGAGGATGATTCCACAATGGAATACATCTTTCCTGGCCCAGTGGATCTTCAGAAGGATTTTTAAAGATATTGGCTATATATATTCCTATGTAAAACTTGTGGCCATTTTGGTATTTGCCCCGGGGGTCATGACTTGAAAAAATTGACATCTATCTATGTGGATGTTCCACATGTGTGTCATCTTTCCTGGCCCAGTGGTTCTGGAAAGAAATTTTTAAAGATTTTTCATATATATTCCTATTAAAAATTGCTTTATTTGTAAATTGCAAGTACATGATTCTACAACAAACTTGAATCTACACTACCTGAGGATGATTCCACATGAGTTTCATCTTTCCTGGCCCAGTGGTTCTGGAGAAGAAGATTTTTTACAGCAATATATTCCTATGTAAAACTTGGGTCAGCCATTTTGGCCCCATCCTTGCCCCATCATGATTTGAACAAACTTGAATCTACACTATTGGGATGATTCCACATGAGTTTCAATTATGTCCTGGCCTATTATTCTTGGCAAAAAATTTTTAAAAATTTTCCTATATATTCCTATGTAAAACTAGGGTCGGCCATTTTGGCCCCACCCTTGCCCCGGGGTTCATGATTTGAACAAATTTGAATCTACACTACCTGAGGATGATTCCACATGAGTTTCATCTTTCCTGGCCCAGTGGTTCTGGAGAAGAAGATTTTTTAAAGATTTTTCTTTATATTCCTATGTAAAACTTGGGTTGGCATTTTTATAAACCCTTGCCCCGTGGGTCATGATTAAAATTTTTTACACAACATGAGGATAATTCCACATGAGATTTTTTCCTGGCCTTGTGGTTCTGGAGAAGAAGATTTTTAAAGATTTTTATATATTCCTATGTAAAACTGTATCTTTATTTTTATTGCTATAGGGGTCATGAACAAGAATTTTCAATATAAGGAATTTTTTTCATTTTTGGCCCATCAGTTCTATATGAAGATTTTTTAAAAATGCCATTAATTTTTAACAAATTTATGATTATCTCCCCTTGGAAAAGGATGGCCCTATTTTTTGATCCCCTTTATAAGGATACTTTGTGCCAAGTTTGGTTCAAATATGGTTAACAAAAATGAAAATGTGAAAAGTTTACGACAACGACAACAACAACGACAGACGCCGGACAAATTTTGATCAGAAAACCTCACTTTGAGCTAATAAAATGTAGTGACCTAAAAAAAGAGCACTACTTGTTCTTCTGTAGATTAAAAGAGCACATTGTTCGTATCAATACTAGCAGCAGCAGCCTGCTCTATAACTTTCTTTGTCTCCATTTTCTCCCTTGTGTGTGTCAAACTATAATAACATGGTCGAACCTTATCTATTTCAAGGAGTAACCAAACCCTTATATAAAAAAACAAATCTAACCAAAAATCGAGATGGTGATATATAAGCAAATTGAATATTGAATCGAACAATTATATTGAACAGTGTCCATATTTCAGTGAATCATTTCAGCCCTAATATATTGTACTTCACCTATAAATCATTGTATCTCAACCAATTATTTAGAAATAATTCAGCTAAAGTGAATGTGTTCAAAAGATTTCACAAGTTGATGCACATACCATTTTTTTTTTTAAATAAAAAAATTATATGTCAACCCCTTGAGTTTTTATATTTGGATGAAAAATAAGTTTGTTATACATGAAGTTGACAAAGATTTTTTTTTTAATTAATTTATTTATTTTTTTTTTTGCGTAACCTGTATATTATAGGAAGGTTGAACCTATAATGCTATGAGCCTATACTCAAAGAACTGGGCGACCTTTGCTTCCATTAGATCCGCCACTGTAAACATTTCATAATGAGCTCAAGGCGTAATTTAGTTTACCAGATGAAAAAAAAAACGACATTTCTCATAATTGGCTTAAAAAGTAAAAACTGTCGCTTTTTCATTGATAATTATGATGGAAAGCCAGGCATGGTTTAATCTCTAATGGATTCACTGGGCTGTAAACAAACAATAGACCGTATTGCGAACATGCCCGACCGAATCCGTTTAAGAAGATAAATTAACCAGAAATGTCTCCATTTCATATGATAACGTCCTTATTTTTTCAATCTCAGTAAAATACAAACCTTATGAATAAAGATGAAGAATGTCAAGATGCTATGTGAAATGAAATTCTAACAAATAGTGTGACAGGAAGTGCAGTTTTCCACCATTGTTCATCAACTCAACCGAATGCGCATTCTTAATGCGCATGTTCTTTGTCGTTGGTACATGGGGGACCTTGAGGGGTACATGTAACAAGTCACGTCCACATGTACTTATATCCAATGGCATTTTTTTTGTTGAATGTAACGAACTTATAGCTCCCTATTAACTGGATTTTTTTCATAATTCAAATGGAAGATGTAAGGTTCTGACAAGTGTTTCTAACCAACTCGCTATGTAAACTGTTAAACTCTTAATTGAGAGAGAGATAGATAGAGGGGGGGGGGGGTTGTAAGTTTAGCCATCACAACTTTTGAAAATAGGGGGGGGGGGTCCGAGAAAAAAAAATCAACTTACATAAAATGATAAAAGACAGGCCAATAAAATACAACAGTGAAAATTTCCAATTTGGAAAATCCTATTTCGTAAAAAAAGAGGGAGGGGGTAGGTTCTTATTCTTTTTAGAGAATTGGACAGGCTTTCGCGAAAGCTGTCTACTTCTCTAAAAAGAACAGGTAGGTTCTCGTTTCTCTCAGTACACAATTTATAACTCAAGCACTACTTTATCCTCATATTACCCTTCGTTGATAATACTGCAAACAAAAAGGGGGGAGCCCCTGAACAATGAACATTTTCTATAGTAAAAAGTTTATGTCTGAAAAAAGGGGACTGTCCCCCATCTCCCCGATGAATCCAAAGCCTTTCTAACAGGCTTTCAAAACAATTTCCTCTTTTAAAACCTAAAATATCTTAAGTTACCTGATTTATTAACCTGACGGCCAATATTTTACTCATTCACCAATCCCACTCTAGATTATTATGTTTTTAATTTGGTAACTATAATAACATATATAGAGAATATTACAGTGTCCATATTTCAGTGAATCATTTCAGCCCTAATATATTGTATTTCAGGGCTATATATATGGATTTTAGTATGTAGTATTCTATTTATCATATATTTAAAGAACTTCATATGCGAGGTCACATATGATGGTTGAAGAATGTTTGTGCTTGTTAATTACAATTTTCTATAAAAATCTAATAAAGCCAAGTTTAGGTAACTAAAAAAAATTAAGACCGCAAATGCCATTAAAGTATTATTTTATATGAATATTTAAATAAAATTTAACTTTTAAACTTAATACAAACGTTACTTCCGTTTGATATGGATTTTCGGCTAAACCTAAGCTGATACGTGATATGACTTTTCGGACCTTTGCTTCCAGTATATGGGGTATTGTAAACATTTCACACCGTGCAGATGTATAAACTACTAAGTATATGATAATAACATTTATTACACACTTAGTAATAAATACAGGTTTTTTGCATATGCGATATGGAAAGCCAATAGCCGTTTAATCTCAGGGCTGATATGGATTTGCGGGGCTGATATCCGTATCAGCCCTGCAAACATATCAGCCCTGCAGGGCTGATACGAATTGTGACGTCAATATCACACCCTTAGTAAATAAAACCACAATAACAGTACTTGTACTCATACACAATTTTTGATTTTTCATATTCTCTTAATTTTAACTTTTTGAAATTAAAGTTAATCTTAATTTACAAATACATGTATATACTATAGAATATTTTCAAATTACGGATCAAGTGCATTGAAATAGAAATAGAAACAAACCCAAATCTTATGAGACATTAGACTATGTATACATGTATGTAAGAAGTCCATGCATGATTATTTACTTATTTTCTTCTCAACTGTATTTTATTACTAAGTATGTAATAAATATAATAAAACATACCCTTTTCCACATCACATCATGTAGCCCTATATCCAATGGCCTTTTTTTTGTTGTCTGGGCTGATACAGGATGTGATATGGAAAAGGGTATGTATTATTCTCTATATATTATACCCTTATCACCAGCAAATGGATTACAGTTGAATCGCCACGCACGACCATGCTCTTCGTATAAACAATTTCTAAGACGAGACATGCAAGCTATTGACGAACAAGTCGATGAAACAAAGATATTATCAGTCTCATATTATATCAGCTTTTCACAACAATGACTGCCAGCAAAAACAGTCTATCATTAAGTCGATTGCTGACATTTACATATACTAGTTAATTGTCTAGCTACAAATTTACGCACTTAATTTTCTATTGATTATTCAGTTTGCCAATTCAATCTATTCACTCAAAACCTGTAAATGGTACATGAGGTACAAAAACATACAAAACATATATACATATAATACAGTGGGTCAAGCAGAAGGTGATAACTAAGGAAAATAGACAATACTATTAATTTAGAAAGAAATGTACGTAATTATTTCAAAGAATCAACACGATTCCCAATGACACGAAGCATGCACACGGCGCGTGTGACTGACGACAGGGAATACTTAATTACTTCATTACACGTACTGATCCCAAGCTGAACCAGGTGACAATACTGATTATTATAGCGAGCGCAGCGAGGCGGCGCGAAGCGCCGCTCGCGTAGCGAGCTCAATAGACTAACGTGTACGAACGGAGGAAATTCGGGTTGAAATCTGCACATTGTTCCAAGAAATTTTTATCTCACCGCGTGAAAAAATTCCAAACTCCCAATAATCCTTTGCGGTGCATAGCAACATGGTGGCTTAAACATAGCAACAACTTACTTGAAAAAAAAATTACAAACAACGATTTAATGTAATCTCCATGCTACAAAACTATCGTTTGCGTTCTAACATGTCTAAGTCAACAGAACTTTTTATTTGACGTCATACTTTCGTCACTTAAACGACTCGGGGATTTCCGATTTTGACGGAAACTTCCCAAAAGTTCGGAATCTCGATCCCGATGCCTGGGAAGTGATTTCTTTTTATTCTTTTCTTCTTTTTTATTTTTAATGAACTGAGGATAGGCAGTGCAATTGAAAGCTGTGTAAAGGTTTTAGTAAATAACTGCGCTCGCCCCAACGGTCGCACCGTAGAACATATTATAGTCTATTTATATTCCCTATATAATCTATACAAACGCAAACAGTTCATAACACTACATATTCACCGGATTTTAGGCCGTATTCACCAGAGGGGCAATGCGCGTGGAACGGCATTGTGACGTCACAATCAAAATATCAAACAACGTTGTAAACAATGGTTGCAACAGCCGCAGCGAGCTACGTATCTGAGCAGGAAAACAATTATTCAAACCTATTTCAGGATTATTTTTTGACATTTAGACTGAGTTACGCATAGCGAAACTCAGAAAGGAAAACACGGAGGTTAGAAACAGTAATATGGACAATTTTCAACAATATACGTAAATTAAAGTGGCGTCGTCATTCAGCATTCAATGTCTTATCTATTCGAATTCGGACTATATAATAAAACAATTATGGAATTTTTGGTGTTGAATATGGTTTGTTATTCACCAGAAAAATGCACACGACCTCGGCTTCGCCTCGGTCAATATGAATATTTTTCTGGTGAATAACAAACCATATTCAACACCAAAAGAGTCCATAATTGTATAATAATGACTGATCTCCAAAACTTTACAAACAATACACAGATATAAACATGGCATAAAACACGACCCCCTGGAATCCCAGAAGTAGGTTCAGGTTTCTAGGACGAGTAAGCATCCCCTGTCGATTTGTCAAACCTACTAAGTCGTACACGTATGTACTGATAAGGTAAGCAAAATCCTTTACAATTGGTGTTAAATACGGCAGCCAAAATACGATCCAATCGTAGATTATATTTGCTAACAACGTCAACGTAACGACCATAGAATGGGGATATTGAAACCCCTGCCAGTAGCTGCCAGTAGCCTGTCTCGCTTTAAAAATATACCATTTTCGAAACATGCATGATGTTTACATAATAAATTTGGAAGCATGAACAATATATGCAATGATAATAAATATTAGTACACTGAATAAGGAAAGCTGATAATGGAAAACCTGTAGTCTTCTCGTAACAGTTTAGTTGTTAGTTATTTCCTTGTCTGTATAGTCAGTAAAATATCCAAATTTGAAAAGGATGATGTGGTGTCATTATGAAGTGTCTTTATTTTCGAGTTCACTAATATATATTGAACCAAAGCATGAAATAACTATTATTAATAATTGATAAAACGTGGTCAATAATCTAATGTTGAGTTGAAGATCCCCCAATAAGTATTTTTTTTCGTCTTAAACTTGAATGTAGAAGTTTTATTTAAATAAATGCAGCTTGATAAGAACACACCGGGGCATATAATAAAGGAGCACAATTAGTGACCACGGTAGTTCCAACAGTCTGTTGAAAGACAATATGACAATTTCTTAACAAAATACCAGTATGATACTTGTTTAGTTACCTCTTTCATGTTTTATCCTATCAATAACCACAACAGTTACTATCAGTCAACTAACTCAATATGTGCTATTATTCAAAGGACAAATTCAAGTCAAAGACCACAGAGAATACCACGAGTACACCTCTCTCTTTTATGTTTCAAGACCCGCGAACATTCTATCTCAGATGCACTAATACAATGAATATAGTCCAGGTAATATTAGTCCCCTGTCAGTGAAACCAGAGGGGACTATAAATTTCCTATGCGCCTGTCCCACTGTCCGTCAGTCTGTCCTACTGGGGTTTCGGCATTTTTTTTATAAACGCTTGCAGATATATTGCCAGGAACACGTTAAGTTCCAAGACAGTACCGTTGTCAGAAACATTTAAAGTTAAGCACTAAAAATGGCTCGTTGTCATGAAAATACAGCAAGCATGTTTACAAACTTTCCTAAGATTGTTCATAAGAAATTTCCTAAGATATATTTTTTTAGAAATAATTTCAACCATGTCTGAAATTGCAATAAGATTATCCCCTTTTGGTGTTTTTCAAATTTCTATCTTAAAATGATAAAAGAGGATCCGTAAGCTAAATGTATGTGTGAATTCATTATGACATAAAATTTATATTTATTACGTAAAATTTTCAAAATTGTTTTTATTTTTGCTATATATAATGCTAAACGTTATTTTACATGTGTTAGGAAAACCTATTTAAAAGAGTGAAAAATTTAAAAAAAAAACATTTGAGTTTTTTT